GGAAATCGACGGAACCTAAAAGATCATATTTCTCTGTTTAAATTTGGAATCTTTGATTTGAATTTGAAGTAAAGATAATTCGGTTGAGTGATTTATGGGATTTATGGGTTTTGAAGGCTCTGTCTTTGTTAAAAAATAATGATATTGCTGAAATTAAGGGTAGTTTAATTCCTGAATCGTAGATTATCTAAAAAAAAAAACATTCCATGTTCTTTTATCTATTTAGTTAGAGTGACACGTGTCAGAAATGATTTTGTACTGAAAATATCTTTTGGGGGGAAAATTTTTAATGTAGAGCTGACATGTGCCCTTCTTGTATGTTGCTTTAAGTACAATGGATGGATATGGCTATATCGAGATTTTTGTTATTATTTAACCGGTAAGATTTGCATCGTAATTTCTTGATAATGGCTTAAGAATTTGAATCCCCCTAAATCAACATCAATCATATGTTCGGGATTTGATTTGCTGCCAAATTATTGGTGTTTTCTTTTTTTTCTTTGTTCTTTTTCCATTTATTTGTGTTTTTTTTATATATACTTATTATTATACTATTTACTGGGACAAGTAAGGTTGCGCATCAGAGTAGCTTCATCAGACTGATATATTAGCTATTTGGAACAACAAAATCAAAGTTAGAAATACACTTAAAAAGGACAAACAAACAAAAACTATTTCTAAGATTGATTGAAACATATTGACGTACTGGTGTGAATTAAATTCGAAAAAGCAAAGAAAGCAAGATGTGGTAAAACTAAAGTTGTAGTATTTCCTCATACAGATGGTAATAGTTGTATAAAAGATTGCTTGGAAAATAATGATTAAAATTTAAACTTGTCAAATTTATGTTGATAGATGCATGTGAAGATGATGGATCATCCACCTACAATTAAAATAAATGCCGAGTAAAAGTCTGTGAAAACAATTAAATAAGTACACATATGCACAATTGAAAATGAAATGTGTCGCTCACTCATCTTTGATAGTGTGCCGGCAATACTAAAAAAGAAAATAATATGGATAAAGAAAAGAATAAAAAATAAATAAATAAAATCAGTGAAGTTTCCATGATACATTATGCAAAATAGTTGGGAAACTGCCGACTCATCTAATGAGTCAAGTTTAGGTAATTAATTTGTATATAAAAAAAACCCCAACTCAATTAACTAGAGTTAAAATAGTAGGCAGGCTGCTGGCAGAGGAATTTGGTCATGATCAGTGGGCAATGCAGCAAGTATATACTCCCTCCGTCTCATAATTATTGTTCACTTTGGGTTTTCATTTTTAATTCAAATTATACTAAAAGTGAAATCTCAAATTGGATAATAATTTTGGGACGGAGGGAATATTTTGTTCCTCAGGCTAGCTTGATAATTTCACAATAAAATGAAAGTATTTGCACTGATGATCATGTTTAATTATAAGTTTTCGTTTAACATGATGCTGTACTGATAATGAAAATGTCAGAGCCAATATATGTTAGTCCGCCTCAAAAAATTGTAGTACTTAAAAAAAAAATTCCATCTTATTATAAGACTAATTCTTTTTCTATATTGCTGACCTCGAACAATAGATTCATGACTCTCTGATTCTCCCATCAATATGTTAGGTTAAATAGGTAGCTAGTTGATTATGTCCTTCCCGGTCAGATAATTACATTAAAATAATAATTACATTCTGAACGTATAATTAATTTGAACTTTTAGTTGGCGTTTCAATTGTATTTCTATTTTTCGCTCCTAACTTTATACCTTTTCGTTCTATAATGATTATTTAACTTTAATACTAAAATAATTTTAATTTGAAATTTATAATTTAGTACAAATTATATTAAAAATAAAAAACTAAAGTAGACATTCATTTTAGAATAGAAGAAATATTATTTTTTATATGACCAACATAAAAATCATTTTAGAAACAAGGTACGTGCATTAATTCGTTAATGATCGACTACGTAGCCAAAACATTGCACCTTGAGCAATCGCATATTCCTTTTTGAGAAATAACTTTTGTTACAGTATTACTTAATTATGGGAAGTCATTCAACACTAACTGTTACTTTCTCTTTCCCAAAATTATTGTCCAGTTTGATATTTTACTTTTAGTACAATTAGATGTTAAACCCGCACGATGCGCGGGATTTATTTATATACATTATAAAAAATCTACAAAAAAAATATAAAAAGTGTAAAATGAATTTTACTATTTTTATTTATAATCCATCAGTAATGTAGGTGTTTTGGAGTATATTTTACTATCCAAAAGTGAAAATAAATAGAGAAAAATTGAGATTGATGATAATTGATTATCCAAAATTTCAGTGATAAAGATAAAGTTTATAACAACTTTTGAGATATTATTAAGAAAAGATTATATTTATTTGGGTAAATATGATATTATACAAATAAATGCATTGGTTTGAAATTCAAAAGATAACATTTAATTATAGTTAAATCACATCCTTTTAGTAATAATTGAAGGCAAGTTTTGTACCTTTTTTTTCTTTTTTATTGGTAAAAAATACAAGGTCGTGTTTTTGGGAGAAGATTTTAAAGATAACATTAATGTTGAATGATTGGTTTTTTTTTTTGAATTGTAGTCTATTGATTTACATGATTGGGAGAGAGATTTTTTTTTAAAGAAATTAATTAAATGAGTCCAGTAGTAACTTTGGGGATTCTTTTGGGGAGGGAATAATTCTGGTGCATTAATATTCATTAATCCCGGCCATTAAATTTAATTAATTTTTATTTTCCTATTTTAAACTATAGTTTTAAATGCCATTTGAGAAAATTTTATTTTCATAAAATTTGAAGGAGTATTAGTATAATTGTTGTAAATATTTTTTGACTCAACCATTAGAAAAGTGACACATAGGATTTTATCTTATGTGGCACCTTTAGAATTCTTTTTTGTTTTCTCTCTCTGGTTTCTCTCTTAGTATAATATATACTATAGATTTGAACTAAAAATAAAAACTCAAACTAGAACAGAGGGAGTACAAAGTTTGGAGGTAGGCTCGCAAAATGCTGCATTGAAGCGCGATTGCATAACTGTAAAATTGCACAAAAATATACCGAACTTACAACTTGAAAATTAGCAAACGCGTTTCATTTTTGCAACCTGTTTGATTCTTGGTGATATTGCAAACGACATTTATTATGTGCATTTGGGTAGATGCTTCTCACCAACTTTTGTGGTGCTTCTGTTGATTATGTTTATGGTTGCAGGGTTAATTATTAGTAGTCATCTCAGATTCATCACATTACCAGACAAAGAAATGATTCTAAAAAACAGTAATAAAATTCAAGGACGTATAACATTGTTACATATTCATCAACAAGATATTTGCATTCTTTTTGTGCAATTATAAATAGTGTCTTATTTTTAAAATGTTGAATTACATTAGTAAAATGAAAAAAACAGAACATTGCACCAGGAAAAGAGATTCTTGTTGAACTGGCAAGACATCAGCCTAAGCGGGCCGGACAAATCGCGTGAACAAAGAAACCTAATAAGTACATTATTTTTTGGGGTAGTTGGCATGATGGACAAGATTATTTCTCTCTTGTTTCCTCTGCCTTGGTGAAAATATGGATTCTTTCGCATTACTATCATCGATAGGCATTTCACAAGAAATTTTCCTTTTTCTTTAATATATAATATATTAGAGTATTTACCGTCAGCAATAATGACTAGTTTATTTGTTAAATTTTAACTTGTAAACAATTTGTTATATACAGAATAGGCAATAGGCAATTGATTAAAGGACATGGTTAGTCTTGTTCATGTACTACACAAAGTGAAAATCGAACACCCAACTTTTAATCAAAAAATGATTGGGTCCATTCAATCGCAATCTTTTGATTAAAAACATTTCACTTGTCTTTTTAATTAGAGCCTACCCAACAGCTCTGTTGTGCAGAGTCAACCAATTATTAATATGTAGAGCCGTAGAGGGTAAAACTTCATTTCACAACTCCGGTCTCAAGAACTTTTTTCCTTTTTTTTTTTTTTTTGAAAATTCATTTTTGTTAAATAAACAATCAAAGTTACACAAAGAAAGTACACAACACCTAGATAGTTAGAATCTAAATATCACCGACTCTCACCTAAGTTTTTCAAAAGTAAGTTAAAATATTGTTTAGATAGTGTTTATTTTACATTGAGTTTTGTGTTTAAGAGAAAAAAATGAGATAAAAAGACAAAATATGACCTTAATTAATCACGTAAGACTTTCAAAGATGTGCAATTTATCTCAACTTTTAGTTTCAAGCTCAAATTTACAAAAAGGCAAAATGAGCAAAGTGTGCAATATTTATTTTTCAAGTGTGGAATACTTTTTTGTTAAGTGTGCAATACTAATTAGCTAACTATGCAATACCTAATTACCTAACCTAATCCCCTACCACCTTTAATCAGATAGAAAAGGGGGCGACTTTTTTGCTGCCGCCTCCACCCTCCGCTGCTGCTATCCACCGGTTCGCCTCAGCCGTGTCTTTTGGAAGCTACCACTGCTGCAACGTCTTCAGATCGCGGCTCGTAAGCCCTCCCTCACAAATCCGACCTCATTATCTTCTTTAATATGTTTTAAAATTTAAAATATTTAAATTTGAAAAATATTTATCAGAATTATATCTTCCAAATCTCTAATCTTCTCTAATACGATTCATTTTAATCTTCTCTAATACACTTTTCTTCATCTATAAATAAGATGAACGTAAAATCATTCAACAAAGTAGATCTTTTTCTTCTACCTCTCAAATTCTCTCCTCTACCTCTTTGAATAAAGAATTAATTAAGTATTTATGAGAATATTTACTATTTTAAAGATTAAACTTATTAAAATAATTATTTTTGTTTATCTGGTCTCATAACTTCGAGTAAATAAGCCTTCACCAGTATTGGGAGCATATATAGATAGCCATTTCGTTATGGAGAACTGTATGAATTTTTTCTAAAATCAAAATTTAAGTTTATTAATTTAATTTATTAAAAACCATCCAACATTACAAGCTAGTAATAAAATTACGTACTAGAGTTCGAGTTTAATAAAAAATATATATATCCACAAAAAATAATCGTCCCAAATGTTTTACAATAACCAAATCCTCTCCAACCATACCATTCGAAATGAACGTTATTTTAATTAACAATACCCAAATAGTCTACTGAAGAAATCTCCCTCAATAGATTATGCCACGCAAAAGACAAATTCGAATTAACTCTTGGCAGAAAAATTCTGCTTATTGAACAAGTACAACGAGAATTTTTTTTAAAAAAAAAAAAAAAAAAGAAGAAGAAGAAGAAAAGAAAAGAAAATGAACCAAATCATGTTCTCAGCGGAATCTTCCCAGTGATTTGGAAAGAAGGGAAGAAGAAGAATGAGAGCTAATTAATCCTTTTTAACAAGGGAAACAGCCAAACTATCTTGTATCCAGATGAAATTCTCAACACATTCAGATATGTTCTTTGCCAACCTGCGAAAGAGATCATCCATAATTCCAACTCCAAAATGGCTCTCAATTATACTCCCAAACACAGCTCTTGTGACCCTCACATACATTTCCCTCACAGGATCTTGATCCATGTTTTTAACATCATCATCCTTATTCCATCGAATCGTTTCGATTTGATTCACTTCAAACGACCCTTCTTCCTCAATGATCCACCTCATTTCCTCCATTGTCGGTTCATACATTGGGATGTTGAAACCATCCAAAGCTTTTTCTTCAATGATTCCTTCCTTCACCATATCATTTAGGGTCTGGTCCAGATACCGAAAACCGACACTTCCAGGGGTGTCTGAGCATAAGATGAAGAACATTCGCCCTGGTGACGCCATCTCTATCGAACGCCTGCGCAAAAACGTGCTGAAATCGGATTTAAATTGTTCCAAATATGCATCATGAACTGCCGGAGGACTAGTGTTCCCAATGTGAACATTTCCTTTGTTAAGTGATAAGCCGTTTTCAGTCATCAGTTTGGCTGGAACCTGAAGGTGAAGCAACCAAAAAAAAAAAAAAATGTAACTGTTCGTGAAATGACAATTATTTATTTGTTAATACTCTCTGTGTCCCAAAATTATTATCCAGTTTGATATTTCACTTTTAGTACAATGTGAACTAGAAGTGAAAATGCAAACTGGACAATAATTTCGGGACGGAGAGAGCAATAAAATATGTAATGTAATTAAGCTAGTGTGAATTTTGTAATGAAAATAATGATCGGATCCTAAGCTTGAAAGAAAAGGTGATCAAGATGAATGGAAAATCATCACCTGAGACAACCAATGGAGGCTTTGAGATGAGTGGAAGAAGTGGATGGAGTTGTCCGGAAAAAGCCTCCCATAAAATGAACCGGGCACGGCGGAGACAAAGCAAGATCCGGGCAGCCGGCGCAGACCAAGCTTCTCAAGTTGTTGGTAGAATTTAGGGAGTGACTTGAAGATCAAGTTGAAATCGTTGGATACAAGATCATTCAGTAATATCTCAACTGAAGGTAATGCTGTTGCATCATCAACCTCAACCCTAGAACTATTCAAGTTGTTATTATGGTAAAATTCTTTGTCCAAAATTTCAATGAAACTTTTGATGGTTGTCAACGTATTGGATCCAGACCCACATCCCAATTCAGCCATCCTTATCCAGCATTTCCCATATAACAAATCTTTCATGTTAATTCCTCTACACAACTCCTTGATGCTCCCTTCAAGGATGTGTCTCGACTTCGTTGCCACTGTTTTCTAGATATATACATTCCCACAAAAAGAAAAAATTAACAAGAAAATTATCGAGTCATGATTTAATCAGTGAAACTATATATATCTAGCTAAACTGCAAAGAGGAAGAAGAAGAAAAAAAGAAGTGATCGTTTTGTATGTTCACTACCAAATTCACACGGATAAATTGGTGTCTCTATTAAAAAAATTAAGACCGGCGTAATTATAATAACTAGAACCAAACATGAATTAAGATGGGAATAAATAACGAATTTTTTACCGGAAATGATGAGTTTTTTGCATAGCTTGAAATGTCATCTCCTCCTTTCATGTGTAGAACTTGATGAAGTTCCATTTCTATAGATAGCTAGTTTAATGATTTGGGTTTTTGGACTTTTGGGGATTAATACTAAATAACTTGTAAGCTTGTGCAGTATCTAACTTACTCCTTTTAGTGAAGGACTTTTGTCTTCTTTATATAGTAATACCAATGATAGAATTCAATTCGTCATCATGCATGTCATAGTCATCATTTATTGATTTCTACCTTCTTGGATCTACCGTCTATCGTATCATTGATGGCCTTTCCGTTCAGCCTAGCTAGATGAACTATCTATATAGTATATACATAAACACCCATATTCAGATCTCTTGTATATATTTTTACTCTTTTAACCTCTGAGGCTTCACCAACTCAATCATGACATATATATATATATATATATATATATATTATGATTAAATAGTAATAGCCTGTTTGTAGTAGTTGTTACTTATAGCCTGTTTGGAAAGTTCTCCCCACAATCATATTTAATTAAATCATTTAATTGTTTGAGCATCAGATTTTTTAGAATCGCGATTCTTTGTCTAATAAGAAGAAATTAACTAGCTGGCTGAAGTTCAGATTAGAACATGGGAGTCCATACGCCTTTGTCTTCTCCCCCTTTAGTAAGAAAAATAAACTACTTCTATCTCAAAAAATAGTTCATATTGAGTTTTGATATTTGTAGTACAATATGCACTGGGTAACCTTTTTTTTTTTTGGACCGAGCGAGCATATATAGTTTATATACTCTTTCTGTCCCAAAATTATTATCCAGTTTAAATTATTTTCAATTCAATCTGTACTAAAATTAAAACTGGATAATAATTAATTTTAAGACGGAGGGAGTACATAATAACACACATGTAAAGGGTCCGTACGTCTCTATTTTAGTACTTTTGTAACTAATTGTCACAATTAAATGTAGATTCAATATTGACTATTTTTTTAGACCGAAAAAGTTTATATATAACACACACTCAAGGGGCCATCACTAGTTGAGTATTTTGCAACAGGTTGTCACAACTAACCTGCAACTATACTAATTAGAAATTAATATTGGATCGAGATCTCCAATAAAAAATGAATATTACGGGACAAAACAAATCAAACATATTTTCGATGCATTTACGCCTAATCCACGTAGTGAACGTCTCAATCTGCTGCTACTGAATCTTGTAGAAATTAAAGGTATCTGAATTAAAGTGATCAACTACTCTTCCGGCCACGTTTTGCATGAGTCAATAATTTTCAGCCGATTAACTTGTGTGATACTCCACCATTAAAATCAAGGTTTTTCATAAAACCCAATCAAGTAATAATCAAATGAAGACATGGTTAACTTCTGTCTTCTTCTGATTTACAGATTGAAGGAAAACTTATGCCGGTTTTTTCAAGACCCTATAAGTTTTCACATTAAGAGATACATACTTTTAGCTCTAAGTGTTTTTATTCCAACGCTAAGGAATTTAGAGCAAAATGCAATATTTAGTTTGCTTATTAATTACTAGGTTTTTTCATTAAGACTCTTGTAGTGGGACAATATTTCTTGGTAGAAAAGATCCGTTATACATTAAATTCTGTTATGATTATTCTTTTTTTGAAAAAAAAAACAAAATTAGTGTACTTTTACAACAACAACGCTATGTATATCCAATTAAAGATATTATCAAAATTAGTTTCAGTTCAATTATATTCTCTCATTTCTTTTGATTTTTATTTCATTAATTCCTATTAGAATTACATGAGCAATCAATCTGTTACTGAAATTTAATCACGTACATTAGATGACTTTTAATGCGAAATAATTTGATCTCCACGATAATGATCTTGGGAATTACACGAGAATCATGTAATAAGCAGTGATTTTTTTAATACCAAAAGTTCAAAAAAGAAAAAGAAAAAAAAAATCGATTCTCAGTCATAAAATTAGATCGGAAATTATTTTCTTCATTATCCAAAATAAGAAAAACCGAGCGAAGTGCTAACATCCTTTTCTTCTTTTTCTTTGGTTCAAAGAGCTCGCATCTTTTTTTTAATTGGTGGGAAGACAATATATATATATATATAGAAGAATTGACCAACAACGGAAGAAATGGAGAGGATATGATAGGCTCTTGCACAATTGACTTTAACACTTCGTTGCTGCTAGAGTGCTAGGTAAAATTTGATTTGATAATCGATCAAAAATACCCAATCCATTTCAAAATAAATGTTGTTTTAGTAAAATAGAGAAATTTTAAAATAAGTGTTGTTTTGTGATTTCAATACATTTTCTGTCCAAAATTTTCAAACATAGCCTCAAAAGAAATAGTATTATTGGTAAATACTTATTTTAATGGTGTTGGTTAAGGATATTCTAGTAAATTAGTTATTCTATTTAACTGTTTCTTAAATTGTGTGCAAATTGTAAAATGACAGTTATTGCATTTTGGAATGGAAAGAGTACGTGATAATTTAATTAAACCACAATATCACAATATTCTCAATTTCGAAAATAAATGGTGATTCTACCACATAATAATTAATTACATAAGCGTGTATAATCTGAAAAGGGAATTCTCCTCAACTGCACTATGTAGTGAAAATAGCTAACCAGTTGGATTGACGATTCTCAAAATGCCGGCCAACCACCTGAAAAAGAAACAAAAAATTTAACATAATACACTACGATCCAGTTAATTACTACTCCGTTCATTCATTCTTTTCATATGTTATCTTTCTAAAGAATTCATCAAAATCAACTATATATTAGTTAATATAGTTAAAATATAAAATTATATTTATTTATTATTCTTACAAATCATTACAAACCAATAAAATTAATCATAAATATTGTTTCATTTTTAATACAAGGTAATGTCAATAAAAAGTAGTCAAATATGCATAGATTTATGAAAATGAAATGCATTGAAAACATATATGAAATTCTAAAACGATATATACAAAAGAATGGAGGGAGTATGAGTTCATACACTAAAGTATTGTGCTCTTTATTATTATTTACTCTCCAATATCCTTATCCAAATTTTTGTGTTACACCTTTTATGTTTATTTATGTCCTTTTGTGTTTAATTATGCCATGTGTCATTTAATTACAAAAATAATAACTATCCTTTTGGATATAAGTTAACGTTTTAAAACATAATTAAAACCCTTACCAATTTCGGTGAATAACCTGTTAGTGGTAAATAAATATGTCTAACAAAATATGTTATAGAGATTCTCTACAGATTTGATTGCATCTCTTTTTCCGTTAGAATGACAAAGAGGCTAAAGTCTAATAAAAATAATTGAACAATTATGTGTCGTGGAGATGTTACTCCTATCACATTGCGCTCTATCAACACGACTTAATCCTCGGCAGGTCTTCTAACCAATTTGATTTCTTCTCTTCGACTATTCTCTCAAACCCTAGTTTCCTTCAAAAAAATTTTCTTGCCCCCATCTCCCCTCATAAATCGATGGGGAAATTGATTTGATTTGAATTTTTTTAAATTTACAATTCTTTTTATTGTTTAATAAGTGGGATTTGTCGCCCAAATTATAGTTCCTTCAGTAGATTAATTGTAATCTATTGAGAGGGTAAGACTTTTCTTATAGTATTCGTGATGTCTTTCGTATTATTACTGCGATGTTCGTATTTTCATTTGTTGCTTCACATTGTGAGGTTTAAGAAGATTCAGTTATCATAGATTTATTTGATAGATCTATGATTTTAGACTTTCATCAGATGATTAGAAATATGTTCTTAATCAGATTGATTATGTGGCACGTGATATATTAATTGTTGTATTGGGTAGATCTAAATAGGTTTATCCATGAGAAACACAACAATGGTATTAAGTTCCATTGTAAGTTGTGTTCTTGTTTCGACTGTATCTTTTATTATCTATCGTTGTTGGACGATTTTAGTAAAGTAATATAATATACTGCCTCCGTCCCATAATTACTGTCCACTTTGCCCAAAAAATTTTGTCCCAAAATTATTGTCCAATTTGACTTTTTATATATCAAGTTACACATTTGTCCTTAGTAAAAAACATGATCCATAAAATCTTAGTGGTTAAACAATTACTTATGTAAGGATATATCCGGTTGTTTAAGGGAAAATGTAGTTAAGTTTGACCAAAAATAAAATCTTTCATTTTAGTAAAACTGGACAATAATTATGGGACGGAGGGAGTAGTTTTTATTTCAAAAAAAAAAATTAGTGTTGCTATTTAGTTAATTGGCGAAGAAAATAAATCTCTTGATCAAATTAATTCGAAGATGTCAAAAAAAAAAAATAATAATAAATAATAATTGGGTATCTCATACTATGTATCCTACATCATTCTGGATGCCATCCGATATATATTCTTTTGTATAGGAGGAATTCGATGATTGATATTGACAAATGCAAATTAATTGATCCATTGGTCGAGTTAGAGCTTTTTAAACTCACCATTTCATCATTCCGGATGTAAAAGAAACGTATCCAGACTCCAGTAGGCAGAATAAAGAAGATAGCATCGTATCCAGACTCCAGTAGGCAGAATAAAGAAGATAGCATCCAGCAGAATGATGAAACGGTGAGTTTAAAAAGCTCATTGCATCTCATACTATGTGTGATGTCACCAATATAAAATATAATCTTCTTGTTATGATTTATGAAATCTCCGTATGATATTACTAATTAATTAGTAGTAAATTTTACGTGTGTCGATCTATACAAAAGATTCGTGAACTTATTGGAAATTTTTTGAATAGAAAACAACGTAACGTTAATTAATTTACATAAGTATTTTGGTGAAGACATTATGCACGTGCAAGTTGAGTTGACCATGACTAACTACATTTGATTATCTAACAATAGTGCATATGTGCTTTTTTTAATCCTAATTTTTATCTATCTGACGATTAACATATAGGTAAATCGACTAAATCATTTAATCAACTGGTTTATACTCTTCCCCAAGAACTAATATTAATAATTGGATTATACTTCCAAAAAAAAATAATGATAGGAATATAATTAACCCGACCCCAATGTAGTAGTAATCAAAACTTCTTCTTTTTTAAAAGAAAAATAAAGAAGGCAAATGGCTGATATACTAAACTAGTACATCACACTGGTAAGACACATCAACGATATTATGTTGATGTCAGAGTTTCACATCATTTGACGAATTATCGAGCCATTGTAAACTTCCAGGACTAGCAACTGCTAATGCGGCTAAAGAGTCAGCTGTAAAATTCAACTCCTGATTAAATATGTTTGAGTTCCCCCACCCAGTCTCTTTTCAAAAAATCTCGCATGGCCATTGCTAATCAAAACTTTTTTTTAGGAAAGGTAGTCTAACCGAAACTCAAATGAAATGCTTATGTCTTGTTCAAAATTAAGCTTCCAAATTATGAGGGTTGATTATATATTTATTTCATGGGAAAAAAATCAGTTAGTAATTATCAAGTAATGAATTGGGAGCAGATATGCTGCTCATTAAAATAGAGTAATTTTGGGAACTAAAATATACTCCCTCCATCCCATAATTATTGTCCATTTTGCCCAAAAAATTTTGTCCCAAAATTATTGTCTGATTTGACTTTTTATGAATCAAGTTACACATTTGTCCTTAGTAAAAAACATTATCCATAAAATGTTTGTGGTTAAACAATTATTTATATAGGGGTATATCCGGTTATTTAAGGTAAAATATAGTTAAATTTGACTAAAAATAAAATCTTTCATTTTTGTAAAAGTGGACAATAATTATGGGACGGAGGGAGCACTACCTATCCGAAAAAAGAAAAAAAAAATTCAGATCGAGTTTTGAGATTTGAAAATTAAAAAATATACTATTTTTAGTAAAAATTGTATATTCAATGTGGATTTTTGTTGTCGGAACAGAGGGATTATAGAATACGATGGGTAAAGTTATTTCAAATGTCCAGCAACAAAGAATCACTTTTTCTTTACAACCAGGTTGTAAAAAATTCAATGCAAAAAAAAGAGCTATAAATTAGCTGAAGACAAGAATAAGAAGACATTTCCTTTGCACAATAACCATGGAGCTGGCCAAAGTCCTAATCTCTTTTCTTCTTCTGTCTCTTTGCCTGAATACCCCTGCCGGCGCATATGAAACGGACAGGATAGTTCCCTCCGGCCCGAATCCGGATGAGCCACCAGCATCTCTTCCATCGCCGAAGAAGCCGAGGGATTTGAAGTTCAAGAGGCTTGCTTTCACAATCCCAAACACCTTTGATTCCCATGCAAATATCAACAGGGTTGTTCCTTCCGGGCCGAATCCACAACAATCGCCGGATTCTCCTTCCCCTTACGTGGATAGACTTGTTCCGGGCGGGCCGAACCCACAACAATCGCCGGATTCTCCTTCAAGACCATTTGAATCACAGTTTAATGGTTTTGAGCAATCACCACCAGCGTTGTAAATGACGAAAATTACACTAATTACAGTGTTGTAATGGAATTTATTGAAATTCGTTGAATATCTGAATCTTACTCTGTAGTTTTTTAATGTCTTTTGTTTCCATAAAGTACATTGCTTTGTATGAATTCTCCCTAAACATAAGAATATTACAAATTCCTGATTATGCTAATACGGGATCATAATCGAAATGACAATAAAGATGGAACAAAAATCAGAGTTTTGCAAATAGTATTTGTATGAAAATGTAAACTGTATAAATCACTAAGAAGATCCATTCTCTAAAGCTTGTTCTGTTCTGCATAATCCAAATGAAGAATCGAGCCATCCTTCCGCCAATGCTCTTTCAACATAATGTTGGAACTGCTTCTTAGCATCTGGTACATCCAAAGCCAGATCATCCAGAGATTCGCTGACTCGAACGAAACCCTTCATCATTTGGTTCATGGTGATTAGTCCCATGCTAAAACATTGTTCAAGCAGATTCCATAGCCGATCATTCTTCTTCTCAATGATAATCACCAGGGATTTCTTCACAACTTCATGGTGGAAAAATGGCATGCCTAACTCTTTGATGCACCGGCATGCTTCCCTTGTATCGCCTCCGGCTTCGAATTCCTCCAACAGTTTACCTATCTTGTCCTTGACGTCTTCAATTGCCCAGCCATTTCCACACCTTCCTCCACCACCCCAGCACCTTAATATTCGCTCCCCGGAAAGCCGAGCTTTGAGCAATGATTTCACCATTAGGGTAACTTTGTTTCCGACTGAATCAGTACCCGAGAACTGGTGCTCAATCTCCTCCAAGTGTTGTGGTGCCAGAACTTCATCCACCTCTGCTCTGGCTAAGAACATTGCTAGATCCTCGACGACCACTGGATTGTCGAGAGCTGTATCGTCTGCAGATTCTATCAGCATAACAAATCCACTCACTACATCATCAGCTGGGAAACACAATGAGGATAGCAGAAGAGAGGCCATTTCTTTCTCCCTATTTTTCCGATCCATGGCTAATGTGATTAACTTCTTGATGAATATAGCATTCAGTTCTGCTGCACAGGTTACGTTAGCTGATTCTAGGCAATGATTCACTTCTGCAATATCACCAGATAGAAAGTATTCTTGAATCATTGATTGAGCCTTCATCTTGAATTCTTTGGTAGCATCATCTCCTATTGATTCCCTTGCAGGTTGCAATGAGAGTTCAGATAAAGAAGATGCACACAACCAACCATCTGATGCCGCCTTCGATATCAATGATTGCAGTATCCTTTTTGCATTCGGGATATCAAGTGTCAAATCATCAATATTGTCAATAATTCGGCCAAATCCCTTCGAGATTTGACTGGAATTAATCAGACCTTCTTCAGCAGCTGTTTTCAGCAAGTCCAGAAGACGGCTTTCAGCTTGATGATTCTCCATGGCTAGTACAGCTGCTCTTTTTACAATTTCATGGTGGAAAAATGGTACATTCAAGTCCTTGATGCATTGGTAAGCTTCTTTCTTGTCACCACTTGAAACATATTCTGTTAATAAATTGTTGATCCTTCCTTTCACATCCTCAACATTTTTGTTTTTGTTACCTGCCCAACGCCGCTCTATAATTTCTGTATGCAAAGGAGCCGATAAGTACCCCTTCTCTGCCCGTTTGATGACATCAAATCCCTTTGATCCGCTAGGCAAGAAGGTCAATGCTTTTGTCAAGAAAGCTGGAGGAAGTATTTCATCAACTACAGCACGAGCTAAAAACAGTGCAAGAACATCAATCGTGTCTGGTATATCTACTATCAGGTCATCTGCCGACATCAATAGCCTAATAAAACCTTTGTACACCTGTGGAGGATCAATTATGTCAGCATAAAGTGCTGATAAGAGAACAGCAGCCATTTCTTTCTCTTTATCACGCCGGTCCATAGCCACAGATATGAGCTTTTTTACAAAATAAAAATCATAGTTCTGCATTCCAAGTTCCCTTAGTTCATTGGCTGTAGCGGTTATATCATCAGTGGCAAAGTATTCCTCAATAATTATGGTAACCTTCTTCTTGTATTGTTCAAATGCATTTGTTGTCCTAGCGATTGTGAGCTCATTTTCCTGAAATCACGCATCAAGCAGTAAGCACTTCCAACAAAGGGAAAGGCAGAAATTTAGATGTCATACTGAGCTCTTCTTGATACTATGACTATTTGGAGGAAAAAAGAACTCCTTACTGGAGAGAGACCAATGAATTTGAAAACTAATCTATAAAACACTGGCCATTTACCTCATTACTGCTGTAATTTGGATCATTCCGGTCAAGGATATGGTCATCCATTATGTCAAGCAGGCCTCCCCAAGTTCCTTTTCCTCCGCAACCACCTGCATACAGCACACTCATTCATAACTTCTCTAATCTGCATCTAATCCTAAAAGTTGCACAAGTTAACACATCATCAAACCACATAGTAATTAAAAACGATTTCAAGCTCGATTATACAATATTACCAAGAACTTGCATTGGAAAAAGTCAGTAAACAGAAAGTTACAATGAGAAGCCTAATAATTCAAATGACAAAAATCAATTGTAATCAACATAGAAACTACCCTTTGAACCATGGGTTATGCCTTTGGCCTTTCTTCTTTCCACCATTATAACATGGTTAGAAAAATCAGTTCAAGCATATCATCTATAAGTCAAATAAAGATAAAACTCAATTTTTCACCTTTCTTTGGCCGCCCATCTCTCAAAGAATGTGAATGCCTTTGATTTTTCAGTGGACTACTCTTGCTTGGTCCTGGCTTAGAAAGATAACCTTTTGGAGACCTGGGAGAGGTTGGTGATCGTTGTGAGTTTGGAGACCTAGGTGATCTTGGTGATTGAGATAAGTTTTGAGCTCTGGGTGATCTTGGTGATTGAGGTATGTTTTGAGCTCGAGGTGATCTTGGCGATCGAGGTGACCTTGGCGATCGAGGTGACCTTGGAGATGTAGACATCTGCACGGGAGAGGCAGATAAAGGATTCGCACTCTCTGTAGCTGATCGAAGCTGCTCCTGGTGCTCGTTTGACATATACCCATCAGTGAATTCCATCTTGATAAAATCTGATTTTGCACTTAACAAATAGAGAAAACCAAGATGGCTTGCAGCATAAAGCTATTTCGACTAATTCAGAATCATAGAACTCAAATAACAATCTTCAAATCAGGAAGCTTAGTTATCACTTTCAGCAGAAGGATGCAGTCTACGAACTGTTTCTCTATCTTCCCCAGTTGCTATCCATTTGAATTAGAACCAAAAAAGAAAGGAAAAAAAAAGAGAGTTAAGAAACCTAAATTTTAGTTACAATTCTCCAGAGCATATTAAATGCCCAACTTTGTCATCTACCTTATTCGTACTCGAAAAGATGTAGAGCAGGACTGGTTGCAGGCCTAATCAACAACGAAGATGACAGACAGAGTAGCCCAGAGTCCCTGAAACATGAAAGAACGATCAACAACAAAAAAGGCAGATGTACTTATGAACATTCTCGTTCTTAAATCAAAATTACACTTCTCAAGGAGAAATTACATCAAACAGTTCATGTGTATGTCATTGTGAGACCCAAAAGACACATATGTAGCAATATCAATAACAACTGTTCTGTTCAATAACTATCTCTTTATCCCAGAACAGGCACGTGTAAGAGAGAATTAAAAACTTCAAAGTGAATAAAATAAATCTTAAACAATATTCACTGAGGAACCATAAGAAACGCAAAAAAACTCACACACACACACACACACAAATGTCAAAATCCAAGTCATAAATCGAATTTTAACGACCTAAGTAAATCCCTCCGAATTGTTAATCTCTCTGAAATTCGCAATTCAAGCACAAAACAAGAAATTAAAAAAAAAAAAAAAAAACAGACACCATTGAATGATTGAATCTCTATCAATAATAGTGATCACAAAATATAACAAGTGAATCCCAAAAGCTCAAACCCACCGCCGATCACCGAGGTGATTGAGGCACTTTTCGCCCACGTTTTGCGAGTTTTCGGACAGTGGCGTACTTTGGTTTTGCTGCCGTACAAGAATTCTGTGTAATTTTTTTTTTTCTTTTTCTCTTATGAATTTTGATTTAATCTAATAGGGTTCACCGGTTCAGACTGAAGCTATGGGGGAAGTGAAGGGAGGTTATGAAAGGTCGTTAAAATCAGTTTTAATGATCAACGGAGATGAGGATGGGGTTGTTTAATCGGACGGCGGAGAGTGCGTTTTGGGAATGGGTCTTTGAAAAGGTTATGCCCGGGAAAATTGGAGACCGAGTAACTGATACGGTAAATGAGCTCCACACTTGGCTATCACATAATTCAGGGAAAATCTCTTCTATTTTTACTCGGGAATATTAGGGGGTAAGTAAATCCGCAAAAATAGAGTGGGTCAATTATTTCAATTCCAGTGTTTTCAACTTGACTTTTCCTTTTCTTTTCTTGAATGCTTCAACCAGCAATAAAAACTAAAAATGAAAATTGTAATACTGAGTAAAGAAAAAATTTGCATATACAAGTTCGATGTCAAAATAATGAAAGATTAAATAAATTAAAGTTGATCGTCGAAATTGCGGATGTAGTCCTCTCTCATCTCTTAAACCAACCAAATCAACCTTACTATATGTAGTACATATTAAATGTATATTTTATTCTGAAACTTAAAGAACTATATGACTTGTATATCATGATTATGAGTTAAAAAAACAATTGAGCATTTGTAATGGAATAATTGATTTTTTTTCCCTCAAGCTCATTTAAGTTAGTTGGTTTTAACATACGGTATTGCCAGAGAAAATTTTAGCCTCCAGAGCAAATACTTACTATAATTATCTGAGCTCATATAGAAAAACTGTTTATTCATAATCATAATTACTATAATTCAATCAAATATACATTTCTCTTTTTTAAAAACAATAAATCAAGCAAACTAAATTCTAGTTCTAAATACATCCAATGTTCCAATTACTTGGAGTTGAATCACTTTAAAATAAGCTCCGAGTTTGAAAGAGTTATGTATCTGTATTTATACTTAAATGTAAATTAGTTTCCTTCAGAATGTGGACCAATATATCCATTTAGACAAAGATTGAGGATTAAAAAGCGAATTTTCCCAACCTTTTTTCCCGGTCGGGTGGGAGACCCAACCAGCTTCTAACCTTATTTGATATTGTGGGGAATTTTCAGGATTGAAGTCCCGCCTCCTCTCTCAATATATCTACCTGAAGAGCAGCCGGCCGGCCGGCCTGCTTAAACATCGGAGGCTGAAGCTATCCACCGGGAAATTCCTTCAGTTTTCTTCTTCTTTGAGTTCATACTTCATTTGGGTTTCAGTCTCTCTGCGTTTACTTGTTCCTTATTGGCCCTGCAGCTCAGACGGCAAATTTCCCTTCTAAGCTTCTTAGAGAAATTATGTCGTCCAAATTGATTCAGTTCCAGCTTCCCAGATATGTTTGTTTCCCAATCTCAGAGCTCAGTTTTCATCACCGGACTTCGAATATCTTTCTAATCCCGACTATTTTTCCGGGTTATGCTGAGAAGTTGCCTCCGAGTTCGAATTCAATTTCAGTAGTTGCAAGGAAGAAGATAATACCATTCTCAACCCAGCTTCCATCTTCGTCGTCTCCAGAAAATGGAGAAGAGGACAAAAAGGTTGAAGAAGAAGGAGTATCAGACTATTCAAACCACGTAGAAACCGCAAGAGATGCTTTACGGCAGTATTTGGAAGAAGAAATTGGGGTTTCCATGGAGGAATCCGTTGAAATCTCGTCCAACTCTCCGAACTACGTCGACATGTTAATTCACAGCATTGGAGAACTCGAGGAAGTATCCAGTCTATCCTCCGCCGCTGCGCCGCCGTCGTGGTCTGAAAGTGACCAACTATCCTTCCGTTCAAAGGTTTACGAAATGGCTAAATGGAAAGGGGACAAGGGTATTCTTCCTTACTTGGAGAGCATCGGCCTTACTCTGTCTTCTGCATCCCACTTGGGCCGCAGATATCTATCCTCTCACACTCTTCCTACTCTAATTCATCAGGTATGAACTCCTTACCCATCTGATTTCATTCCTCATTTCTGTAATTGGTGAGCGTTATCAATTGCTTATGTGTTTTGTTCTTTTAGGTTAAATATGTGAGGAAACTGTTCTTTTCTGACAGTGAAGATGATGGAGGGCTTGCCGGAAATAGTGCTCGTCGAATGATGATGTACCTTTCTATCTCTGTTGACGAGGATATCCAACAAACTTTATCCTTCTTTGAGAAGGTTTATCTTAAATCTTTTCTCCTCATCATCATTGAACTTACGCTATGACGGCATCGAAGTTTAGTTATTTGTCTCCCACTGCTAAGTTTTGTGTTATTTTCGCCGATTATAGTTCATTAGTATTTGATTGAGAAGATAGTGAAAGATGAGTATTACGTGAAGAAAATGAATGAAAACTTCAACAATGACAAATTTTTGGTTGCTTGTTGACTTCATGCTGCACAATCATGTATCATAATAGTCTAGTAGAAACTATTAGTGGATTGATATATTTTTTTTTTAGGGGTGTATAATCATCAGTCTATGAGATGTTTGTAGCTTATTGTAATTACTGGTTTTGATTCTTTGTAGTAGATCCAGGCACGGCGTGGCGGTTTGGAATTGTTGGGCTCTGGAGATGCCTCCTTCCGACATCTTATCGAATCATTTCCAGCTCTTCTCTCTCTACCTTTAGAATCTGCTGTGAATCCTATGGTTGAATTCCTTGAGGAAAATGGTGTACCTAGAGGGAGTGTTGGGAAAATTTTTCTGCTGTTTCCACCCATATTATTCTTTGACCTTGAAAAGGATCTTAAACCTCGACTACTGGCATTGCAGAAGGTATAATTTTTTGTTATGAAATTTGTCTCAGCAATTTTATGTACGTAAAGTAAATATGGTTTAGATGTGTCTTCTTGATTCTGCTTAATTTCGCCTATGCTTTGTTCTTAAAGTTTGTAGTGGTGTTATTGTTTATTTGTTTTACAGGGAAGGAAAAGAGAGGGGAGGGGTGGGGGATTTGGTGTTTCACTAATTATCAGTATCTTCTACCCTTTGGTTTGATTCTAATTTGGACAGAAACATTCCAATTTACTTGCTTTGTTAATTTTGAGAAAAGCAAATGAAATAACTGATTACACTACCACTAACAACCATGTTCTTTTCATATTTGCAAAATTGGAATATCAGTATTAAGGTAACATAGTTTCTATACCCTTAAAAGATGTTAAAATGACACCAAAATAATAGGTATCAGCGGAGTGGATATTAGTTAACCATTCTTCCTATAATAAAGTTCCACGCTGATGTTAATAATATACAGATGTGGTTTCTTACTGTAGGCTTGGACTTGTTGCTTCTTTCTTGCTAACAATTTTATGTCTTTGAATTTGCAATTCTTTCAATTAGGTTGGTGTTGAGTACAATGATTATGCCATCCTGATCCAGAAGTACCCATGGGTTCTCTCAACTAGTATTCTCCACAACTTCAGAGAGATCCTTAGTTTCTTTGATGAGGAGAAGGTAAATTTACTGACCTGGATAATTTGTATGATGTCAGTTTTTGTATCATTGTTTGTTTTATCTGGGTACTTTTGAGAGCTATTCATGTGAGTTTTTCTCGTTTGCAGGAATCTCATGTTTCTTGAGTTCTTTCTGACATTTCTTATTTCATAGTTCTTTACATTTCATTGTTGTGTCCTATTTCTGATGTTTAAAGTTACCTTCTATTGGCAGGTGCCACTAGATGGTGTTACTAGGGGTATAATAAACTGGCCCCTGCTTTTGGGTTGTTCAGTCAAGAGGCTGAAGATGATGGTGGAGCAATTTCGTGAACTGCAGATAACAAACAAGAAGCTTGGTCGATTAATAGCGAGGAGCCCTCAGTTGCTAGTACAGAAAATTGAGGAATTTGTTGAGGTTTGTTCGTTCTCAGCTTTCTCATCTTTCTATTAGATTCCAAAATTTTTAAAACTTCAAAGGCTGTGATGTGTAGGTTATAACGTTCTTTAAAGATCTGGGACTTGATGATGCAAGTATTGGACGAATGCTTGCTCGACGTCCTGAAATTTTTGCTGTAAGCATTGAAGAAACGCTTAAGAGAAAGATTGGTTTCCTTACCAGTATCGGCATCTTGAAAGATCATCTCCCACGAGTTGTTAAAAAATACCCAGATATGTTCGTTTGTGATGTTGACCGAGCACTACGTCCCAGGTAAGGTTATGAGTACTATTGAAGTCCATTAAATTGAATGGTTGTTTATGCTGTATATTTTACTTCAATAGCAACTTGGGTCAGGGTGAAATACTTGATGAAGATTGGTATATCAAAGAAGGATGTGGGATTCATGGTCCGTAGATTTTCACCTTTGCTGGGATACAGCATTGAAGGAGTTTTGAGGCCTAAGTTAGAGTTCTTGATACGCATCATGGAAAAGCCATTGAGAGATGTAGTAGACTATCCAAGATATTTCAGCTACTCGTTGGAGAAGAAGATAAAACCTAGGTATTGGGTGCTGAAAGGCAGAAATTTAGACTGCAGCCTCAAAGACATGTTGAATAAAAACGACGAAGAGTTTGCTGCTGCGTATATGGACGTTGGATCAGGAACACATCTACAACCAGTTGAATGACCGTTAATATTTCTTGGTTGGCTTCAGTTTTGGTGTACAGAAGGGAGTATTTTGATCCAGATAGTGTCCATACGTAAAACTCTTGTCTAGTTTTTAGTTTGTATGTGATGTGTTAGTGACCCTAGGTTCACAGTTAGGCTTAGAGGTGACCTGTCTCCGGCTTGAATCTGAACTGAACTTTGCGGATTCCAAATTCAGAATCCGTACTGTGTTACACAGTTTTACTAAATATATGTAGAATTGGTCTTCATATAATTATTTTGGCTTCTAATTTTCAGGCATCAAAACTGGAATCTGGAATTCATATCTAGTTCTACCTGACCCGTTTCAGCGTTAGCCGAATGGTTACAGTTTTATCCAAAGAACAAATGCAACTTCCGATTGTAACAAGTAGAAATAAACTTGTGTTCAAAAGTAATGCTAAGGCAAAATGTCATGTGTTCGAATCTGTTATTTCCCCTATTATGGCTGAACCAAAATGTCAAAGCTGAGCCTTTGTCTCTGGCATTTCTGGCAATCGTATTACATGACTGCAATATTTCCATCCCATGTAGTGTTGTCATACAGTTAAAATTAAAAGTTGACAACTTACAATATCAACGTGATATAAGTGTTACTTATATTAGCGAAAGTGAGAATTGAGCAATAAATTCAAACCGATTTACTCGTATCGTCGAATATAAGAATTTAACAAATGTATAATATAAGATCAGTTTCGTAAGTCCAAAAAGAGGATGAGCCTTTGATGCAACTATGAAATTGTTTCTTTATGACTCTGTTTGGTCATACTTTGATTTTTTTCTTTTTCCTACAATAATCCTTTATTTAATACAGTACTTTTGTTTCAAGAGGTGGTGTTGATGCACTTATCTATATTTATATCTACCTATATCTATCTATCTATCTACCTATATACTATACTAAGGCAAAAACCAGAGAGAAAAAACTATAGGCATGGAGCACATGCCACATAGGATTTAATCCTATGTGGCATTTTCTTAATTTTCTAGAATTAAAAATGCACAAAACAAAATAATAAAACAAAAAAGAGCAACTGAAATAATTAAAAAAAAAAACAAAATAATAAAAACTAAACCCTTATTTTCATGAACCAAATCCTAACATAGAGATTGATTAGAGAGAGTACCAAATCCTAACAAATTTTAGAGAGATTTGCATAAACCTTATCACCAGTGAATTTAAAATGTCATTTAAAAAAAAACAAATTCATGTAAATCCAGAGGTAATCATGTTTAAAACTGAAGTCATTACATATTTTATAAAAGGCCAGTGATTCTGCCACAACATGTTTTAGCATCCAGGAAAATTTAAAGTAAAAATACAAAATTGCCCATCTTTAAAATATCAAGACTCCGTCTGTCGCCGGAATTGAATTTCTTTCGGCATCGCATCAATGAAAGACTTGTTATTGTTTCCAATTCATTCTGTAGTTCTAACATAGATTTGCAGGAGAAGTTCCAAATTCAAACTAGAGGACTCGTTTTTTTTAAATTTAGTAGAGAGTTAAAGACCACGGCACCACCCATAAAAACCATAAGAACCGTTGCCCAGAAAAAAAAAAAAAAGAGTAATGTAACATGTAGATTTTGGAAGAAAAAAACACGATAATTATCTCCAATTTCGTAAAACATAAGAAATTTGGAGGAAAAGAACATGATTAGAGCAAGGCTCGAAACCATTACAATTTATAAATAGTAGCACATGTATGTGCAAAATTGTTTTTTAAGCTTTTGCATCAAAGGATTGACTCAAAAATTGTAAACGATATTATATTTCATTCAAAATCAAAAGTATTAGCCTCAACAGTATTATTCTTCTTTCTTGAATGAGAAATAGGAAACCATATTCATACGAGATTGGCGAAGTGAGAATAACAATTTTAAGATCCTTCACTCTTTCGTTTTTTGCGGTGGCCGGGCTAAGCCACGGAGGAGGGTGAGGGTACTGGGAAGAGGTTAAAAGAAAATTATATATGTAGATTGTTTTTTTAAGATGGATAAATGTGTATTTTTACTCTAAATTTGATCTGGATGCTAAAATTTGTTGTGGCAGAATGACTAGCCTTTATAAAAATAAACCAGAGAGAGAAAACTAAAGGCATGGAGCACATGCCACATAGGATTTAATCCTATGTGGCATTTTCTTAATTTCTTAGATTTAAAAATGCACAAAACAAAATAATAAAACCAAAAAAAAAAAAAAGCAACTGAAATAATTTTTAAAAAAAACAAAATAATAAAAACCGGAGAGAGTACCAAATCCTAACAAATTTTAGAGAGATCTGCATAAACCTTATCATCAGTGAATTTAAAATGTCATTTAAAAAAAAACAAATTCCTGTAAATCCAGAGGTAATCATGTTTAAAACTGAAGTCATTACATATTTTATAAAAATACAAAATTTATATAAAAATATCTATATGTGTATGACTTCCCTGTCCATCGGACGGGTCTAACACCTAGTTTTTTACTAAAACAAAATTCTTTTTGTTGAAAAAAATTATAATAATCAAAATAAATTACTAATAAACACCAAAATGTTAGTGAATTAGGAGCAGTGATTGTATTCTAGAATCCTTTACAATGCCCTAATAAAGGTAGGATTTAATTACTGTACGAAGGTAACAGAGCGACATATCTATGGCGCGGAAATCAAGTTTCAAGAACCACGCTTTCAATAGAGTCTGTTTTTAACTGAAATCAAACCCGGTTTGAGTTTGGGATTCGTTTTTTTGGTTTCTCAGAGAACTTTTTAAATAGTCGAACAATTGAGCCAAATCCCTCCGGCAGCAAGCGATTAACACAGAAGAAAGATATGTCGACTCCGGCGAGTTTCGACTCAGATTCCGATGAATTGGCCTCACTTAAATCACAGCTCCGGCGTCTTCAGAGCCGTGTCGAAGTATATGCTTCACCTTCTTTAACTTCGTTACCACTTATCAGTAATAGTATTTTTTATTTTTATTTTTTCTTCAGCTTCTGTGGCGATTTACATTCTGTTACTTAAAATTCAGGAGTTAGAGTCAGAAAACATGGCATTAGTAGCTAAGCTCTCGAATTGCAATTGCCAAAAGGTAAGGTTTCTTTTCCCTATTTTTCTATAAATTTGTCTTCCTTTTCAAATATCAATATGACTTCTCCTGTACCACAATGTTATAATTGCAGAACAATGATACAGTTAATGGCCACAACACAGCTGCGAAATCAAGAAAGAGATTCTCAGGTTCTTTTTCTTCTCTTTTATTTTTTTCTTATTTATATTCATCACGAGGGTAACATATTGATGTATCTGTTGATCATTGTACTGAGATTAGAACATGCGGTTCATTAACTGAATTCTAAACTAATAGGAATGATAGTTGCCATTGTTCGTTCGTTGGGTTTTGGTGCGGGGAAGGGACATAATGGAATTTTTGTATTTTATTCTGAGTATAGTATTAAGCATTAGCTGTGTGTAATTGTAACTTAGAGTAGTCTGAAACAATTGTTTGCAAAAAATTGTTCCAATGATTTACGCTTCTTATTTCAGGGTATGAGACAATTGCACATCGGGTCTCTAGGAGATATGTTGCCTTAAAAGTGATGTACTTTGGTCTGAGGTATCTTCATGCTAAATATTGAAGAACTGATTCTGATAACTCTTCTATGTATTGTCTTTAATGCGAAGTTGTATGTGCATGTAGTAGCTAAAAGATTACTTGTTTCACATCCAATTGCTACAACATCATTTAGTTTAGCTTCAGCAATTTCTGGTTGGGAAAGACCTCGTCACAGTCTAGTTAGCTTACTGAATGTTGAACGTGTACTGATTTTATTTCTTAGCTCGTGGACATTGCTTATAGTTTTCAACATCGATTTTAAAAAGTTGCACGCATTTTCATGGTGGTGAAGAATATCTCTTGGTCTAGTTATAAATCTTGTCTTTCTCTTTTCTTTGTTCTACTTGAATGGAATTGTAAGTATAGCTTTTGACAGCTACTATGTGTGCTTCATAGGTTCAATGGTTTTGCCTCGGAGGCACACATGGGTCCAACTGTGGAGGTGAGTTAATCAGCTTTCAGTTTGTTTTCAATATCAATAGTAATAATTGATTGAACATGTTCTTTGCATAAATATGTGCGGGCCAATCTTTTCTTTCTGTCTTCCTTTTCTCTTTCTTCTTCTTTAATCTTATTTTTCTGGAGTCCATTCATTGGGTCATCTTAATCGCTTAAGTGAAGTTGAGTAATAAGCTTTTGTGTAGATATAAAACTATATCTGATCAAGCAGTGGCCTCAGATTTGAGATCGTCCTTTATATCTCCAAATAGCGTGCGATTGTGGACTTGTTGTTCATCCAATAAAACAAGCTTTATGAACTAAAGGAAATCGGTGATCCACTTTTGCAAAAATTGAATATTCGACAAGAAACTCTCTCTTTCGGTTCATGTTAGCATTATTTAGGACCTGAACATTGACAGCCTACCTTCTCCCTAGCTTGATATTCATAAATTATACATAGCAGACTCGGCTATTTGCCTAATTTGAAAATTCAGGCGTTATTGTATCAGTGACAATGACTTTGGCTGCTCATTCTCTCATAATTCATCTCAAGTTGCTTAAGTTTAGCAGATCTTATAAATGAAAAGAATAATGGATTTCTTTGGGTCCAGTTAGCCTCACTGCTCTCTTGGAGATATGAAGTACGTTGAATGTCGCCTTGATATCTTGAATAGTTGTTCCCATCCTGTCAACTGTGTTGCCCTTATTACTTTCATTTACATTTGTGCAATACTAGTTCCAAAAAAAGATTATCAGTATTTTAACCTTTTTCTTTCCAACATTTTCCTCCAGACTGAAATATTTAATGCTTTAATGAAGACAAGACTCATTGATAGAGTAGACAAGAAGGAGTTACTTTACTCAAGATGTGGTAGAACAGACAAGGGAGTATCTTCTGTGGGGCAAGTATGTTGCACTGTAGTTTTTCCACTTTTTTTCCTTCATGACTAAGATGCCGACATGCTATTTCATTTTTTTATATGTTTTGTGTTTTGCTAAATGCTAACTACAAAATAGTCCGACTTTTTGCAAAAAGACTGGGATGCTCTTATGATTTAGTAACAACTTTTAATAGCACATTGTTGCAGTATAGTTATCCTTTTTCCAATCCCTTTCTTAATGCAGCCTTTTCTTAAGTAGTTTTAGTAGGCAGTTGATATTATTTAATCTCTCATTAAAAACTTGAAAGAAAACTGGTGCAGTCTTGCAGGTGATTGCTCTATTTCTGCGGTCAAAATTAGAACAGACAGGAGGCATCAACAACCATGCTGGGGAAATCTCACCGGAAGAAGTTTGCGGTGAGCCATCATTCTTGTCTAAAAGCTAATTAGCTTCACCTGTCGTCATATCAAACGATTCTCTTTTACAATATTACAATATTTTGTCTTTTTCTCTTTCATGTTAGGAAATGGATATTCAAGTAAGCTATGTATGAAACACCTACTTTGGGAAATGGGGCACAAAGACAATACCTTTTTATTCTTATGCTTTATACATTTTATTTTATTTTTTTAAAAATTGTGCCAGCAAACTTATCAAGTTTCTGTTCTGTGATTATTGACAAGCTTTGGTCAATAAATTACGTCCTTATCATTCAATAACTGCTTGATGCCTTGAGGATTTCGATGCAAATATTTGACTTCAGTTTCCTATGTACATATTTTAAGTCTTTTTGTGCCAAACTTGTTTTCGTGTCTCCGCGTTGATATTGTATTTTATTCTCCGCTGCAGGAGAGATCGACTATGTTGGCGTGATAAATAAAGTACTTCCAAATGATATTCGAGTTATGGGGTGGTCTCCCGCACCCCTTGATTTCAGCGCGAGGTCTGTAATTCACCTTTTGTCAAGTTTTACTGGAGGATTGAAGTTGTACCCACCTTTTAAATGCTTTGTTCTACTTGTGAAATGTTCTTGTTTCTGTCATAGTAAAATGAAGGGGACTTGTAGAATAAGGAGTCATGTCTTTTCCGTGATATGTAGCATCTGAACATGCACAGGAAAAGCAAGAAGGCTTACTTGTTCTACAAGTTCATTGATTTTCCTTTTCTTTGATGGACATGGTCTTAGTAGGTCTGGACATATTATGGTAGTAGTGCGTTGATATCAGAGTTCCAAGTAATTAGGTTTCTTGAGCTCACTTTACGAAATTACAGACACTTTCCATTGACTATATTGAGCTGCAACAGATATGCAAAGCCTAAAAATGTTCTGTGTCAATTTTTTCAAGGGATTTCTCTTTATTTTTTTATTTTTTTTCTCCATTTTCTAGTTTTATGCACTAGGAGATTTATGAAGGGCCCTTTTCATTTCTTTTTCTCTTCTAATGAACATTTGGCATGAATCTTTCAACCAACATAATCCTTGTACCCCAAAATCTGAACAGTCAAGACATTCATGTTTCTCTGGACCATGATTTATTTGTTTTGTACTGTTGTCCTGCAGGTTTAGTTGTGTAAGGAGGGAATATAAATACTTCTTTTGGAGGGAGAATCTTAATATATTGGTAATGTGTGCTTTTTTTCTTTTCTTTTCTTGACTCAAAGATTTATACTTTCTGGTATTTTAGTTCCAGCTAGAAAATTACCATTAAGAATCTGACTTGTTATCCGATGATGTACTTGTCAAGGAAATGGAGACTGCCGGGAAGAAATTTGTTGGTGAGCATGATTTTCGGAATTTTTGCAAGATGAATGCTACCAATGTGCACAATTTTAGACGGCATATCATGGAATTCAAGATCTTTCCTTACGGTGAAAGGTTGTATTTTTTTGAAACCTATGACTCTTCGAATACACTGCTTTCTATGTGGCTCAAATGTCAAGAAGTTCTGAAATGAAATCATCGGAAGTCTCCCTTATTTGATGAAATTTAATATTGGGTTGGAAATTACTTGTTTGGTGTCGTAACTTTCTAGTATTCGGATTATTTCAAATTGTATCAGTTGATAAAAATGATTAAAGCATTCTAGAGTAAACCTTTCATTTAAAAAATAAAAAATATAAAAAAAAAAGCTTTTATGCCTATTGTCAGGTGCCGAAACTAAAATTAATTTTGAATAGTCTTGGATATAATATCAACCATGTGCACAGTTCTTTTTTAACCAGTAGAAAGAGTGAAATTTGAAGTTATAGTCAAAATTGGTCTAAGCTTGGGTCGTGAGTTATTTAGCACCATTGTGAGATTGTCAGCTTTCAACATTAATTAGATGCAAGTACTTGAGTTAACTCTATAAATGAAAGGTAAACTTTCTCATGTGAGGAATGATGAATTGAAATGTTTACTTTATTGCAGCATACATTGTGCATTTGTGTATAAGTGTGGCTTGTTATGCTTTTAGGCTCAGGTCACGTGTTGTTTGCATGCTAGGCGTCTTATTATCCAAAGCTCTTATACGCTGCTAATTCAACAATAGGCTTCATTGCTCCCTCTACTTAATCGTTGTCTCCACACTTCCCCAACTTCCAATGGTGAACTTAAGAAATATTCACATCTGATCGGCTTTATATATCTCTTCAAAATTTACCCTTCATTCATGGAGTAGAGTTGGCAGTTGTACTGTATTGTTCTTTGAAGCACTAATATCTGTACTGTCACTCAAAGAACTGTGAAATCTCTTGCCAAACATGTGTCTTTGACCTGAATTGGTATTTTTATACCTTACAACTTACATTTCTCTTTCCCCTGTAACTTGCAGTTCATGGGGCAATGAGCTTTGGGTGTTGAATATAACAGGAAGTGCCTTCCTGTGGCACCAAATCCGATGTATGGCAGCCATACTGTTTTTGATTGGACAAGGTCTTGAATCCTCTGATGTACGTAAAACTGCCTTCTTAATGCTACTATTTGACCTTGCACTTGCTGTTTGACAGAAAACTCTTAATTTAAAAAGAAAGGGAAAAGAAAGAAAAAAAGAACCTGCATTTTTTGCTCCTCTTCAGGCATTTTCTCCACTTTATGATGGTTGGCCAGTAATCAGTATTAAATATTGTCTTATAGTTGAGAATGCATGTATTAGTTTTGGTGCCTCCGTGGGCTAGGTTTTATACTTCTTCCTTTCCTTTTCCTTTTTTGGGTCAAATTTCTGCTTCTTCGGTGTTAACGAGAATGGCATTCACTTTTCGTTGTTGAAAAAATGTATTAAGCTTGGTAATCATACATCTGATAGAGCCGAGTATAGAACATTAGGGTTTTTATGTCAACCACATAGGGCATGAAAGCTGCTTTATTTTTCAGCTGAAGGTACTACTTATAAGGAACTCAGTCAAGGTTTAAATTTGCAGATTATAGATGTATTACTTGATATTGAGAAGACTCCAAGGAAACCTCAATATCTGATAGCTCCAGAAGTTCCGTTGGTTCTTCAGTCTTGTGAATTTGAAGGTCTTAGATTCATTTGCTCATCAGGTACTGTTTTGCTTCCACTTGATTTTTGGAATCCCTGGTATGCTTCTATCTCATTTTAAATTGTTTTTTAATACTTTTATGGACTTTTTTTAGCTGCGAAACTTGCTTTGTTTGAGCACCTGAAAAAAGAATGCCTTAATTATAAGCTTCAAGCTGCAATTTTTTCGGAGGCTTTGCAGAGTTGTTCAACAGTTGAAACTGGTATGATTTGAGATACTTCATAGTCACCCTCTTGATTCCTTCTTAAATTCCCCAATCACGATCCAAATTCTGGTTGTTGGCAATATTGCTAAGAGAAGTTTATTTCTTTAGATGATACTCTGGTGGTTAACACCAAAACGAAGAAAACAGCTGTTTATGTCCCAATCATGTCTAGGCCCTCTGAACGTAAGTTTCACTTTGTTCCTCTTTCCTCTTTTTTTTTTTCGCTGCATTTATTTCCGTGATTTACTGAGCATTTCCAATGCTATTCAATTTGAATTTTGTTTAATAATTATCGGCGTGGGTTCAAATGATACAACTTTTTCAGCTTCTTATGAAGAGCGACGAGCTAAAGTTACCACTTCAGGCAAAATACAGTAGTAGAAAAGTTTGGAGGCACAAGCATTTTGCTTCCATGCTCTCAACTCTCAAATATTTGTCATTTCATTTTGTATTTTCCAATCTCATGTTGTAAAATATAGTATAAGTAAATATATATATATATATATTATATTTCTTATATATATATATATAACGAAGGAGGCAAATTAATTACCGAAACTATCACTCAATGGGAGGAAATATTGAAAAAAAAAATTTGGTACAACAATTTTAAAGATATTTCCTATCCTTACTTCATTAATGTGCCGCTTGCATGATTAGAATCCACTAATACACACTAGTTGATCAACCAACGTTGCATTTGTCTCGGTGACAAGGGTTTGTGTGGAAGCGGATATTACTAAAGCTCTTCCGAAATCAGTATTGATCGGCAAGAAAGGCAAGGAGCTTGAGTTATTTTTTTAATATGAAAATGTTACAAAATACTGTAGAAAGTGTTGCATTATTGGCCGTGTCGAGGGATCATGTAGAAATAAATTACCTCCCGCAAATAGGAAGTGTTGCATTATTGGCCGTGATGATGGTCTCAATGTTGCTCCAACGGAGAAACTAACAAGCAAGCACCTCCCGCAAATAAATTACCAATGGAAGTGAAAAAAAAGGTACCAAATTATCATCCCACACAAAGTGACAATCAACCTCGATATGTTTTTGTGCGTTCGTGAAAAACAGGATTAGCAACAATATGCAAAGCAGCCTGGTTATCACAATGAAGACGGATAAGTTGAGGACGCACAACCCTTAGAAAATGTAATAAACCTTTCAACCATTTCAGCTCACAAACAGTTGAAGTCATCGAATGATACTCAGTTTTTACAGACGAACGAGCAATTGTGTGCAGCTTCTTAGTCTTCCATAAAATGGGAGAGTTACCTAACTGAACAAACTGGCCAGTCAGAGAGCGGGGAGTTAAAGGACAACTGGCCCAATCTGAGTCACACCAACTAGAGACTTGTAAATTAAAATCGGCCTGGAGAAGAATCCCTTGACCGTCCCTTCAAATATCGCACAACATATAGTGCAGCGTCCCAATGTGCCTGCATCGACTTCTGCATAAACTGTGCAAGCGCGTGAACATAATAAGACAGCTCAGGACATGTGACTGCCAGATAAATCAAGAGACCCACCAAATGCCGGTAACATTCAGGATTAGACAGAGGAGTATCAGTAACCAAAGAAAGTTGGTGATTCTGCTCCAAAAGAAAGCACCTAAGTGGCCCACCTCAGAAATGATATCTAAGGCATACTTCCGTGACAATAAAAAATACCAGAAGATTTGCAAGCCACTTCGATGCTTAAAAAATATTTAAGAATGCTAAGGTCTTTCATGTGGAAGCAGCGACTCAAATAGTCTTTGAAAGACTGTATAGCTGTGAAATGATTACCAGAAATTATGAAGTCATCCAAGGGCGGAGCCAAGCCCCTACACTTAGGTGGGGCAAAAATACCACATATAAATGTTATTGGGGCAAGAATATACTTATTTTAAAAGTTAGGGGTAAATTTTTAATTTTGGTAATACATAAGGGGTATTTCAAAAAATTTCAGCTGGGGTAATAGCTGGGCTCAATTTTGAAATTTAGCTGGCCTCAATGTGGCTCCGCCACTGAGATCATCCACATAAACCAAAACAACAAGCTGCAAAGTGGAACAACGAAAAATGAAAAGAGAATAATCAGAAAAAAATTGTTGAAAACCACATTGTCGTAACACACTAGCTAATTTGGAAAACCAACAACGGGAAGCTTGTTATAAGCCATAAAGAGAGCGACAAAGGCGAAAAACAGTACCAGACTAAGAAGAAGAAAACCCAAGAGAACCCTTTATATAAACCTCCACTTCAAATCACCGTGCAACAATGCATTATGCGCATCTATCTGATGAAGTTCCCAACCTTTTGCAGCAGCCACAGTAAGAAGAATACGGATTGTCACCATTTTGGCGACAGGTGCAAAAGTCTCATTATAATCGAGACCTTTTACCTGATTATTTTTCAAAATCACAAGGCAAACATTATAACGCTCAACCGAACCATCAGAATAATACTTAATTTTGAATACCCATTAGCAACCGATGGCACGCTTTCCGAGAAGACTGACTCAATTGACCAAGTACCATTTTGTTCCAAAGCGTGAATTTGCTGTTGTATAGCAATGCGTCAACGAACATCTTGAACAACCTTTGAAAAAGTTCGAGGCTCAGCACCTACGGTGACACTAGTCAGGAAAACTCAATATCGAGGTGAAAACAAATTATATGAAACATAATTGTCAGTAGGATACAACGCACTTAAGAAAACTGATGAAGAGAGGGACTTGGGAGAGGGGCTTAAAGGAGAAATAACAATGACCAGGAAACCTTTTAAATGAGTAGAGCAGAATTTGCCATGATGCCCACAACCCAAACATTCTTCTTGTTGCTCGATAGGAGGCTGACCCCTTGTCTGAAGAAGGGGGAATACTAGAGACAGAAGGAATATCATTCGAGAAAGTGTTGACAACGGGAGAAGAAACATGCACAACATTATATTTTGCAACAATATCGAAGTAAGAATCATTATCATCATCATCAATAATAGGAGGGGACTCTGAAATGGGAGGACGTAGAGTGGTAGACTCCGATGAGTGGTAAGGAAATTCAGACTCTGAAAAAACAACATCTCGAGAGACAAAAAATTGGTCAGATTCCAAGTCATATCCCCTCTAACCTTTCTTGCCATAAGGATACCCTAAAAATAGACACCTTCTACTCCGACTAGTAAATTTATCGTCATGTCAATCCTAGTTGTGAACATAACACAGGCATTCAAAAACACACAAATGAGCAACTGAAGTCATCGAATGATACTCAGCTTCTACAGACAAACAAGCAACTATGTGCTGCTTCTTAGTCTTCCATAAAATGGGAGAATTACCTAATTGAACAAACCAGCCAGTCAGAGAGTGGGTAGTTAAAATGAGAGAATGTGTTGATGCTTGCATTCTACCCGGCCATTTTGTTGAGGAGTTCTCACACAAGAAGTTACGTGCAAAATACCAAGTTGACGAAAAAATTCAGTCAGACACAAACTCAGAACCATTAACACTGCGAACAACTTTCACCAATTTATCAAATTGACGTTCAACCATAGTAAAGGAATTTTGCATCTTATCAACTAACAAAAAAATCCATGTAGCTCGAGAAAAATCATCAACAATTGTCAAAAAATAACGAGCTCCAGAAAAAGAGGGAGTACGATATGACCCCACACATCAACTGAAACATATCATGAGTCTTAGTACTACTAACTAGAAAAGTGTCTCGAGACTATTTGGCTCTAAAACACACATCACATGCCTTATTAAAATTACTACTAGACTTCCTAGAACTAACATGAGAAATAAGTTCTAGGACCTTCGAGGATGGATGTCCCAACTGTTGATGCCAATGGCGGAGGCAGGGGGTCGCCAGCCGGTGCGGCCGCACCCCCTTCGTTTTCAATTTTTTTTAATAGTTACATTATAATTATTAAAAAAATATGTAATTTGTTTATTTTCGCACCCCCTCTAAAAATTTTATGATAATAGTTACAAATCTTTTAGTCAATTTACATACAAAAACTTGAAACAATGTTTTTTTATACTTAATATAAGTAAAATTTAAATAAAAATAAATGAAATAGCAAAGTTTTACCAAAATAATTGTATTAATTTTGTATTTTAATGAAATAGAATTCATTCACTAATAAGAGATTTTGTGGCCCAAATAAATATAAAATATTTATTTGATCAAATAAGGCCCAAATTTGCACAAAAATAAAAGCCCAAGATCAAATTTAATTTGCTAAAAAGTTAATTTTAGCCGTGTGAACAATAGAAAATGATACATCCTGATATGAAATTTCAGATAATTATGTGTTTTTGTTTATGTTTTTTTTTTTTTTGTGCTTGGAGTGGTTTTGATGTAATAGAAAGAATATTTTTTTCTTATATAAAAATCTTATCAAATCTAGAACATTTTATTCTAATTTCCATAAAAATACATATCTTATAAACAAATTTAAACCACGTAACGTTATAAACTCTAGTAAAAAAAATGTGTCAAATATTAATGAAATGGTTCTCAGTATTTTAAAAAAATAATGTATATTTTTTTAAAATTTTTAGTGCACTTGTCTCTTAATTTTATTTCATGCCCCCTAACTTAAAATCTTGGCTCCACCACTGGTTGATGCCACATATCAAATGAAGACGATCCAGTAGTAGTCATAGCTGTAACAGTCTCCACGGCCCGGAAGAAATAAAGCCCCTCTCGTTGCTCACCGGTTCCAATCAGTCTATTCGAAGTGAGGTCCTATATAACTCAAAGATGATTAGTAAATTTAGCAACACCATTAGTGTCTTTCAAGAGCTGCGGAACAAAGATTAAATGACACATCCTACCTCAAATCTACAATTACATTAATTATTTTCTCATGTTAATCAAGCAATTGTTTAATAGATGTTGTTTGTTTTAGATATATTTGATTTTTATGATATGTTAGCATTAACTCATTTTCCTAATGTAAGTCCACTTTCTAAATTGGTTGTATCAAATCGTAAGTCCACTTCGTTCTACAATGCCAATTTACTAACTCTTTTTTTTTTTTTCAATTTACCTTCCTTCAGATTGCACAAAGAAGTGCATATGCTGATGACCCACATGCAAAGAAGTTTAACACCAGTATTAGTGACAAAATGACTTAGGTTAAAGCTTGCATCCTACCTACCCAAATGGGATGATGAAAGATATGTAGCCGTCTTCGTTGTTTTGCTACTTATGGTAGTTTTTGTTCATGTTTTTCATACTTTGCTGCAATTACACAAGTTTGGAGAATCCTTTTGAGCTTGTTATAGGAAGATATGATAGATAAATCATATGTTGAATTGAATCATGAGTGCTAAAACTGTTGATCAACATGATGTTGTTTAATCTCTTGGTTTTCGAATTCTGAATTTATTGGCTAAAGAATTTTGGATGTGTCTCAATCTTTTACCTGACATTATTAGTGAAGATATGTATGATAAAATTTCGGTTTGATCTCGTATGCAAATGTGAGATGTACAGCAAATACTGAAGGAGCTAAGAGAATGGCTGGGGATAAGGAGTGTCACTCAAGAACTTAAAGCCAAAAGATGATGAAAAAATGGAGAAGAAGAACCATTAAAAAAGAAGTTGTTGTTGCTCGCATTAGTGTTGCAATTTACAGTATCTGGATGAAAGAGAAAGGCCGCAAATTCGGAAAGCAGATACAGAATCCATTGGCAAGAAAATCTATTTATTATATTAAAAGAGGATTTTCAATCGACACGTGTCGTTCAATTAAATAGTTCAGAGACTTCTTTGCTACATGTCAAGTTGAGAGTCTTTTTTCTGACACGTGTCAATGTCAGAGATCCTCCTTCCATTGAAGTGTTAATTTTTATTTTTTTTTTGAAAATTGCATTTTAATTTATATTTCGCCCATCATTATTAAATTGCATATATATATTTGATTACCTAATTAATCAATAATGAAAATCTTATCTTTTCTATTACTAAGTATTTTTAGCTCTTTTTATTGGTTGCTAATAATGATTTTTCACACGATTTTAAGTCAAGTTCATTGTGTTGGAATTCTTTTTTTAAAAAAAATGTTTCATTTGATGAAAAACCATCAAATATATATAAAATATAGTATTTTTCAGGAAAAATCTAACAAAAATTACTAAAGAGATGTTGTATAAAACATTATATATCTTTACATTTATTTTTTCCGTTTGACTTCGCTAACACTTTCATTTTAAGCTCACTAAATTTATTTATGAATAATTACAAAATTATACTACCAAGTTATTATCAATTTTATCGGTTATTACTTCTAAAATTTACTACGAATGAGTCATATTAATATTTTTTACCTTTCAAAATTTACACTATCTTGAATATGAAATATTAAAAAAAAAGATGAATGTAATTTATACAACAAAACACAGACAAGAATTAATATATCATAAAATCCAATACAAATTTTATCATATTAGGAAATAATACTCGACTCACATGTAATCATAATTTTATATTTTTTTGCAATAAATGTAACACAATCCGTACAAAGTATAGGAATAATTCTAGTAGAGGATTACACAAGAATTAAGGTAAAAAATTCAGTTTAAATGTCATAGAATTAGAGCCGGTAATCATAAGTCCTTGGAACAGTTAGGAATCAACATGTAATATAACTGTATGTGATAGGTGAAGTTAAAAATATGTACAGATTCTTGGTGCTGAAATAAATAAAATTTGACAGTTTTACCAAAAAATAAATAAAAATAAAAGAGAGTGGTTTCCTTTTGAAATAAAATTTGCTAAATTTAGTGTTAAATATACGAAATTTAATTATAAATAAAAAAAATTAAAATCATAGTATTAATTGAAATAAGAATGAAGTAGTAACAAAAGTCTCAAAAAAAAAAAAAAATAGAATGCATAAGCCAGCCAAGTGTGCGGTGATAGCTTTACAACAATCGGAAAGTTTCCTACTCTAATAAAAGTTCTGAGGAGGGAAACTCGGATAAAAAATATAACACTCCTAACCAAACTAAACACACCCATAACCAAACTAAACTATAGTTAACCCATGTTCATCTCTGATATCATCTACTTTACACTCAATAAAAATCAGTTCCAGAGAACACCACTCCAAGTTCCAGAGAACACCACTCCAGAAAGATCTATTTTCAGCAATCAAATAGGAATCTCATGTAACATTTCTTTTTATTTTCTTAATTCGTCAAATAGAGAATTACTAAACTGGGTCACAAGATTAAGTAAAGAAACTTTAACACATCTTCGAGTTATCCTCTTCTGTAGAATCGATTTTTAGGAAGCTGATAGTCATCGGTGCAAAACGGAGGAGCTTAGACACCGGAGGTTCATGCCTTCACGGCGAGAATTGCGGCCAAATGATTTTTATTTTTTCAAGAAAAACTATTGAGTTTCTAAATTATTATACTGATTAATTAATAAATTAGATTAGATTGGGTTAACTATAGTTTAGTTTGGTTATGGATGTGTTAAGTTAAAAGACACTTGTCATCATTTTAGATGGTGTCACAGGAAGTGCCACACAAGTGTTACACAGAAAACCCAAAGCCGATCACAAGTCCGTAGAACAGTTAAGAATCAATACAAGGTAATATGACTGAATGTAATAGGTAAAGTGAAAAAATGTACAGATTCCTGGTGCTGAAGTAAATAATATTTGACCGTTTTACCTAAAAAAAATTATTATCATTATATATATTAAAGGAAAGAAAGATAATTGACACGTGTCGCTCATTGAGACCATCAAATCTCAATTAACACGTGTCATTTGCTAATTGGTTTGATCATTAATCAATTAAAATTTTATATAAACAATTAACAACTATTATTTACTATATATGATTTTTACAGATATTACAAATTCTGGATTGAGAGCTTGAAAATGAATATTTTCAAAAATTGTTGAGAAACCCCCGACTTAAGAAGTCCTTGCATTTACGAACTTATTGTCATTTTGGCACTTAAAATTTTATTTATGTGCTACTTAGTATTCAAGTTTATCGATTTTACATTTTCAAGGACGATTAATTGTGTCTCATATTTTATTAGAACTACACTAATCCCCAAAGTCCCCTTGCCTATAAATAGGCCATAGGCATCTAGACACAATTTATGTATTTTTTAAATATATTTTTTTAAACCAAACATAACATTAGTTAGTGGTGATAATTTTTATTAGACAACTTTTGAAAATCTTTGTTGTAATATTTTTGACCAGATTTTACAAATATACATCTCATAAATAATATTAATGCCTCTTATTTTGATCTAAAATTGATTAATCAAATAAATCTTATGATTTTAAGAAATGTTAGTAATTACATTATCTAATTAATTCTTTTGAAAGATACAGTTTTCAATGTTGACAAACCCACGCAAAGCGCGGGACACATACTAGTATATATTAAAGGAAAGAAAGATAATCGAGTCGCTAATTGAGACCATCAAGCATCACTTTTAACTTATTATCATTTAGCCCTTAAAGTTCTATTTATGTGCTACTCTGTCTTCAATTTTATCGATTTTACATTTTCAAGGACGATTAATTGTGTCTATTCCCCAAAGTGCCCTTGCCTATAAATAAGCCATAGGCATCTAGACATAATTTACGTATTTTTTAATATATTTTTTAATCCAAACATAACATTAGTTAGTGGTGACAATTTTTATTATACAACTTTTCAAAATTTTTGTTGTAGTATTTTTTGGCCAGATCTTACAAATATACATCTCAGAAATAATATCAATACCTCTCATTTTGATCTAAAATTAATTAATCAAAAAAAATTTACGGTTTTAAGAAATATTAATAACTACGTTATCTAATTAATTCTTTTGGAAGATAAATTTTCAACATTGACAAACCCGCGCAAAGCGCGAGACACATACTAGTAAAATAAAAAAGAGAGTGGTTTCTAGAATATGAGTTGCTCAAAAAATGATTTAGGAGAAGTAAGATTTGCTAAATTTAGTGTTAAATATACAAAATTTACTTACAGATAGAAAAACAAAAAAATTGAAAAAATCTTAAATAAAATAAGAATGAAGCAGTAACAAAGTCTTAAAAAAAAAAAAGGAGCGGGCCGGGTGTCTGCGGGGTCCGGCGGTGATAGCTTTAAAACAATCGGAAAGTTTCTACACTAATAAAATTTGGAGGAGGGGACTCGGATTAAAAAATACGCTCCTTCTCTTCCCGTCGAAATTTCGAAAAGCTAACTCCCTCATAATTACTTGAACAAACAAGCTTTCTATATACACAGAGAGAAAAGGTTAGGGGTTTGGAAAGAAAAAATGGAAGCGGCAATGGGTTTGATGAGAAGAATGCCGCCGAAGCATACGGAGACGGCTCTCTCTGCACTGCTCAGCCTTCTGCCTCACCATTCCTCCGATCTACTTTCTCAAGTCGATCAGCCTCTTCAGGTCCATTTTCCTTTCCCTTCAATTTACTTTCGATTTTAGTTTGTTTGTTTTTTCCGTTAAATGCATTGAGGAACCAGGTTCAATTGATTTGGTTTGATGTGCGTTCTAAATCTGATTGATGTTAATTATGCTTTTTCTTGAATAAGTACAGGTGCTATGCAAGTTTAATCGAGCAATTAGGTTAAAATGATGCTTTTTTGAGCTGTTTGATTTACTAGGGTTTGAATTTTGAGCTTTGCCTCCTCGTACTGCTTCTTGCTTTGGCGTCTGATGATGAATTTGAGGATTTTTTGGTTCTTTAGGTCAATCAAAATACTGTAAAATGGGAATGTAGTTTGTTTTAAAATGCTTGGGACTTAAATGCTTTATAGTGTGTATTGATCAATGTTGTCAGTAGAAGGTATCATGAGCATATGATTTTGCTGGTGAATCCCATGGTCTAAATGTTTGAATGTTGATCGTGTGAATTTTTGTTTATAACTTATCACATAAAGGATTTTGGCATGATCAAAGCCTGCATCTTCATGCCGGATGCATTATTGATTGATTAGGCTGAACAGACCCAATCTCTTTTGGAGTTCAATGTCTGAGAATTGCTTTATTTGGATGCTTAGTGCAGATCTATTTATTTGGTGTTCTGTTTATATTACTGAAGATGCTAATCATTTCAATTAAAACTGCAGGTTTTGTGTGATGTTGACAGTGGCAAAGAGTTCATACTTTGTGAATACAATAGAGATGCTGACTCTTATAGGTAACTTTGCTTCCTTTTTTTTTGGTAGAGGTAGATAGTCTTTATTATTTGTGGCTTGTCATTTGCTAGAATCGTTTTATTCTATGTAAAAAGATGACTTAGGGAGAATTAAAGGAAGTTTTGTCTGGAAGGAAAAATATGCATGACTTGTTCCGACATAGAGCACGAGAGAATGGGGGGAGTCTGTGTGACTTTAAAATCTTTGTTCTATGGCCTTTGCGTAATCTGAAAAATAATCCAGTTGCATGTTCAACTTATTATCTCTCTTTTTCTATTATTATTGTCTGCTGGAGATGGTTGCTTTGATGTGGTTAAATAGACATTTTTATTGTATCTTCCAGATCTTAGAATGGGATGGGGACGTCGTTCTGTGATGGCCATTAGCTAAAGTTTCTGATACTGAATTGATTTTCAGCTATGTTTCTCTCGTTTGATTGGGCTGTTTTGTTCTAATTCTAAGAAAGTGTATTATGTGTTGCTTTCACTCATAGGTCACCGTGGTCAAACAAATACCATCCACCTCTAGAAGATGGGCCTCATCCATCTGCAGAACTGAGAAAACTCGAGATCGAAGCTAACGAAGTCTTCGCCATTTATCGTGACCAGTGAGGTCCTTTACTTACCTCGGTTTTTCATTTCTGATTTCTGTTGTCTACTGTACCATAGAAATGTCATATTTACAATGCATTACCTGACAGAGATCTTTTATACTCAGGAAAATATGTTCATAAGTCAGAGCTTTACTCAGATTGATTTCTATTCATGATTTATAGTAGGACTACTATCTAAAAAATGTTGAAGTCAAGTGGTTGAGATACTAATGATTCCGTCCTTGTTGTCACAATGTTTTTAGGTACTATGAAGGTGGCATTTCTTCTGTATATCTTTGGGAAGATGAAAATGATGGCTTTGTAGCGTGTTTCTTAATAAAGAAAGGTAATTTCCTTTCCTCCTTTCTCTTGTTCACCCCATCATAGATTAAGGGAAATACACATTGACTAATTTGCACAATTCCTGAAGATGGTTCGAAGAACGCACATGGTAGAAGAGGTTATCTCCAGGAAGGAGCTTGGGATGCTATACATGTTATTGAGGTAATCTTGGTCCGTACTTCATGTCTTCATCAATAAATTACTGAAAGAACTGAACTTTCAGTTCCTTCACTTATGAATAACTATATGAATTAGGTGGGTCCTGAGGAGGAAGGAAAATCTCGCTATTGTTTGACGAGCACAGTGATGTTGTCAATGACAACAAATGATGTATCATCAAGCTCGTTCAATTTGTCTGGATCAATTAGAAGACAAGTATGTACCCTGTGGCTTTTAATTAGCCCCGTATATCTCATTCATTGCTCTTAGTTATTTACACTCTTGATTCTATTAGATAACCTTTCGAATGTGCTGGTCTTTAATTTCTTCCTTTTGCTCCTCTGTGTATTTGTTCTAAACTCTTGCATCCTGTATCCCGCTCCTAGTGTCCCCTCTCTTGGGAATGGAAAGAAAAAGAGCTGTCCTTAATTGTGGTGTTCAGACTTCGGTTGTTTTTTTCCCATCATAGATGATGAATATAGGCCGTTGCATTGCATGTAGTAGCAATCAAATCATGTTTATTCTATTGTTTGACCCTCTGTCTTAGCGCATGTGCTCGTGAAAAATTCATATGCTTACCATCTAGCCTATCTTGCACTGCGAACCATTTTCACTAAATGCAGTTCCCATTTTCTAATTGTCCTTTTTTTTGGGGCACTAGATGAATGCGGACCTCTCAGTGGCAGAAGGTCATCTGTGCAATATGGGAAGAATGATAGAAGAAATGGAGGGTAAACTGAGAAACTCTCTAGATCAGGTATACTAGTACAACTACTGCACAAAGGAAACAAGTGACTGTTTGTTGTTGTTTGGTAACAATAGAGGAATCTTTTCTTTTTTTTTTAAATAACAATAAAGGGATCTTATGATTCATACTAAGGCAGATATTTGCTGTTATCATTTCTAGAATCTACCCTGTGATTGTAGAAATGGAGGGTAAACTGAGAAACTCTCTAGATCAGGTATACTAGTACGACTACTGCACGAAGGAAACAAGTGACTGTGTGTTGTTGTTTTGGTAACAATAAAGGAATCTTTTTTCTTCTTTTTTTTTTTTTAACAATAAAGGAATCTTATGATTCATACTACGTTAGAGATTTGCTGTTATCATTTCTAGAATTCACCCTGTGATTGTAGAAATGGAGGGTAATCTGAGAAACTCTCTAGATCAGGTATGCTAGTACGACTACTGCACAAAGGAAACAAGTGACTGTTTGTTGTTGTTTTGGTAACAATAAAGGAATCTTTTCTTGTTTTTTTTTAACAATAAAGGAATCTTATGATTCATACTAAGGCAGAGATTTGCTGTCTATAATGTACCCTGTGATTGTATTTAATTTAGGTGCTTTCAACTTAATTGTATCTTCCAATATTCGCAGGTTTATTTTGGGAAGACAAAGGAAATGGTTTGCACTTTACGGCCCCCAGCTGAACTGGTGCAAATGAGACTGCCCGAAAGCTGAAAATTGATCTTGCTCATATTTCAATTCTCCAACAACTGTTTTTTGCTTTCTCTTGTATTTATATATTTGAGGGTACGTGGTAATGTCGTTGTCTGTAATTTACACCAAGTCTAGTCAAACGTTTCTTCTTTAGTCTTCCCTTTAAGGAAAGCTTGTACACTGCTGCCTTCATTGTGTAAATCACTAAAATCTGCGGCTTCTAAAGCAAGAGGAGTTTATTTGAGTCTGAAATATCATTTTGATAGTTTTCCATTCTCTCCGTGTGTATGGGCAATTTAAATGGGAGTAATATTTATATCTTTAAGTCCACGTTTTGTCTCTCCCTAAGTGATGTTACTTGCAATTTCTTAAGAGTATTATTCTAATAACATCAACAATGACTAAAACCTGGTATGAATCTGTAACATGAATATGATGGAAGAAATGTCTTATATTTGTCAAATTGCTTTAGTTTAATACATAAGATTATTTGGCATCTTTTGCAGCCAGAAGGATAGTTATGATTAATAGATCCACCACTTGGCATCAAACCATGATTAAAATACGATATTATCAGTGTTTATATACATATAATATAATCGTTTGAGTTATTTAGGCGTTTCGCCTCTTTTATTGTACCAAAAATGTTTTTTTTTTTTTTGGGACAACAAAACGTGTGGATTTACCCTTGGATTAGTAGTACACTTGTGAAATTTGGAATACCGGCGCTATTTATATTTCCTCAAAATAATGTTCGTTCAATTCTGAAAGGACGAGGTGGACAGAGTTTTATATGAATCAACCAGAATCTAGAAGAAGAAAACAACTGTTTTCAAATTTCATGGCATATGGCCTATGTTGAATCGTTACTACACAAATGCAATTCCCTCCAAAACATCAAACAACTTCAAGCCCACCTCATAACCACCGGCCTTTTCAAATCCTACTTCTCCCGCTCAAAGCTCCTCGACTTCTGCGCCACCTCCTCCGCCGGCGACCTCTCTTACGCCACCTTCGTTTTCCACAACATAACCCGTCCGGCCACCAATGATTGGAACGCCATCATCCGTGGCATTGCCGGAACCAACCAACCCATCAAAGCCGTATCCTGTTATGTCTCTATGCGCCGTTCCTCTTGCAAACCCGATGCGCTTACTTGTTCATTTACCCTCAAAGCCTGCGCCCGTACTTCGGCCCGAATTGAAATCCTGCAAATCCATTCTGATGTTGTCAAAACTGGGGTTCTTGCTGATGTTTTATTGCAGACAACTTTGCTTGATTCGTATGCTAAATGTGGGGACTTGAGTTGTGCGTCCTCCCTGTTCGATGAAATGACTGTTAGAGATATTGCCTGTTGGAATGCTGTGATTACTGGAATGGCTCAGGGGAATCGACCAAATGAAGCGTTAAGACTGTTTAAGCGAATGACAGAATGTGGGATGTACCCGAATGAGGTTACTGTTCTTGGAGCATTATCGGCCTGTTCGCAGCTTGGAGCACGAAAGGAGGGCGACAAGATTTATGACTATATCAGGAATCAGAAACTTGATGCAATTGAGACTGTCTGCAATGCATCTATTGATATGTTTGCGAAATGTGGATTTGTAAAGAAGGCATTTGAAGTGTTCGCCAGCATGCAATGTAGGAAGTCCATTATCACGTGGAATACAATGGTTATGGCATACGCAATGCATGGCTATGGAGTCCAAGCTATAGAGTTATTCAATTCGATAAGAGAAAATGGTTTGGTTCCGGATAGTGTGAGTTATTTATCGGTTCTGTGCGCTTGTAACCATGCAGGCATGGTCGACGAAGGGTTAAGGCTGTTTGAGTCTATGGAGGAAGTTGGGGTGGAGAAAAATGTGAAACATTATGGCTGTGTTGTCGACTTGCTGGGAAGAGCCGGGCGCTTAGAGCAGGCATTCAAGATTGTGGAATCGATGCCTACGCTTCCAGATGTTGTGCTTTGGCAAACTTTGCTCGGAGCTTGTAAAACATATGGAAATGCAGAGCTGGGGGAGAAAGTATCCAGAAATCTTGTAGAAATGGGATCACGTAGCTGTGGGGATTTTGTGCTGTTGTCTAATCTTTATGCGGCACAAGGAAGGTGGAAAGATGTAGGGAAGGTGAGGGAAGCTATGAAAAATACGTCGGTGAAGAAGATACCTGGATTCAGTTATACTGAAGTCGGTGGCGTGATCTATAAATTTATTAACGGTGATCAGACCCACCCACGCTGGAAGGACATACATCAGAAACTTGACGAGATTAGGTTTAGGATTAGCGAATATGGATACGTGGCAGAAACCGACTATGTGTTGCATGATATAGGGCAGGAGGAGAAAGACAATGTGTTGCTTTATCACAGTGAAAAGTTGGCTGTAGCATTTTGTTTGATCAGTACTAGTGCTGATATACCTATCAGTGTAAACAAGAATCTTAGAATCTGTGGTGACTGCCATGTAGTGATTAAGCTGATTTCGAAGATTTATAAGAGAGACATTATTGTGCGTGACAGAACTCGGTTTCACGAATTCAAGGACGGCTCTTGCTCTTGTGGAGATTATTGGTGAAGATGTCTGATTTCTTGCTTGCTGAGATTTGCATAAAAAGGTAGCTTCTTTACTCAGTTTATGTGTATATTCAACTTTTTAACTTTCATTCTTGGTTACCTTAGTAAGAGACCACAAAACAGATGATATATTTATTTAGCAGGACACAATCAAAAGAACACCAAATTATTACAAGTCTATATGTAGGCGCTGATATTCGCGCTCAAACCACAGGAAAACCACACAAAAAATCCATTCCTACAACACTTATTAAGCTTCTTATTTTTTATTCAAACAGTAGCAGGTTTTCTGTCCACTTCATTACTACCAGCTGGTTCTGCATACCGAACCTTATTCTCATCTCCTGTATATATTCAAGACGAAAATCAAACTCATCATCCATGCATATAGCACGACAGAGAGTGCAAGTTTCTAATTCGTCGGAAACGCTATATCAAAATAATAATAATAATAAATTAACTCTTGCCTTCATCCTTGTAAGTTAACCTTCTCAATCTCAGCATCAGGTTCATCAATGTTGATATCCTGAAAGTTGGACTATAGATTAATTTCCAAAACTAAAGGAACATGATGAACATGCCACCATATGTATATATTGCATCCGGTTCTAATTATTGGACACAGATTTAAACTAATTTTAGTGTGAATTTGTGTCTTGCGGTTAGCACCACAGAGAGTACTGATTATTGATTTAATGTTAAACTCACCGAGTCTTCAAAACCCACATCTTCGGCCGCTTGATTTTCATCAACCCACCTCCCAAAATCAGTTCTCACATATGGTGGAGTGCTTACCCCCGGCTTCAGAAGCCACCATTTACTCTCCGCCTTCTTCAGAGTGTAGAAGGCAGCCTAACAAAGATTTTATGTTTTGTCTCCTCAAATAATAATAGTTTGGTGTAGTTCCAGATTCAATGATAATCCTTTTTTCTGGTGTAAGAAATGATGAAAGTGAGATTAATTAGACCAAAAAAAAAAAAAACTTGCATTAACGTCAATCTTGTCGAAGAGCTCAAGTTCAAATTCATAGGGCGGTATGCCATCTCCTCTTGGAGCTGAACAGAAGAGTTTTCCTTCTGGCTCCAGCTTCACTTGCACATCCTTGACATCAGTTCCCTCAATAGCGATTAACATAACGTCTGACCTTTGAGCCCAAGGATGCACCTGGCTGATATCATAGATACAACGTATGTATATACAGTACCCCAAATCAGTCAAAACTGCTTTGAACCAAAAATGTCTTTTGAATCCCATTACGTCATTGCTTGCAATGCTTCCATGAATGAGAAAAGGAAACAAGAAAGAAAGAAAAAGAAAGCAGGAACTCAGGAACTCAAGAAATTTCTTTTTGTTTTTAAAAGTTAAGAATCTTGTCTTGGCTATAGTTGGGAGAGTGTGGTTGTGGCAAATTTTCCTTGATAAGTTAGGATTTTGTTTTCGAAAAGTGGTAATTTTTCTACTTCAGAAATTGGGATTTGATGGTGGCAACTTGCCTTGACCTCTTCAATCTAGGTTCCTTATTCATGATTGAGGAAGGAAAAAAGATGAAGACGAAGAAGGGATTTGGAGTAAAAATGATGATAAAGAAGGACGGCGGAGAAAACATCTCATGTTTGTGATAAAATGGAGGGGTAATAGAAGGAAATTTTTTTCAGCTTGCTTTAATTTCTTCAAACCCACCAAAAAGATGTGGAATGCATTATTGGGTTTGAAATCCAAAAAAACACTGTGTGGGATTCATTGCCTGCCAACCAAGCACTATTATTTGGATTCAAAGGCATAGACTTGGATTGAAACCCCCTTACCAGACACCCCCCAAAATTTGTACTAATTTTATATAGAAATCTCAAAATTCTGCGTGAATTAATGTTAAGTGCGAAGAGAGTACTTATCGCGTTTTTTCTTTTGGTTCTTTCAATATCAAACTCTGAAGGAAACCGATAACACGAATTCAATTTACAACGTTTCTAGGCTAAATTAATAAACCTTTTGATAAACTGTTATTTAGCCCAAAAAAAATACTTCCTCCCTCTTAGAAAAAATAGTCCAGTTTGAAAATGTATAACTTTTTTAATTTGTTCAACACACCAAATGTACAACTCATTTTATACTCCTAACTTACACTAATACCCCTTCTAGTTATTTTTATAAAAGTTAACTACATATGCATTTATTTTACAACTTACATTTGATCAAAATTTTTATCTAAAAAAATATTGACAATGAATCTTAATGGAAAGATCTCATTACGTAGATTAATTTGATATTTAACACGTTTTTTAATTATTTATGTATTAAAAGATATAATTACTTGAAAAAATGGGAGAACATATCGCATGCTCATTATTTGCTGCACACACCCTCTCGAGCTATTATTGTTTTATTCAAACAGTAGCAGGTTTTTGTGTCCAATGATCTTCTACTGAACCTTTTAATTTTCATCTCCTGCATACATCCAAGACGAAAAACAAACTCATCATCCATGTAGCACGATAGAGAGAACAAGTTTTCTAATCGGAAATGGGTATTTAAACAATAAAAATAAGAATAATGATCTGTGGAGCAAATTTTTTAAGAGAATTTTTATAGAGAATTAATCATAAACATTTATTTGTAATATTTTTCATTTGAAATTTAATCATTTAAAGTTAGAGTGTAATTTTGACAATTGACACACCATTCCCTGCAATTTTTCTCTGCATGTATCTGTACTATTAATAATAATAATAATAATACTCCTAATTATGAGAAATATTAGCCTTGCCTTCAGCCTTCTGAGCAGCAAGTTTTTCCTCGTCCACATTCTGAAAGTTGAAAGATTAACATACATACATAATATTGTATATATAATCATCGTATTTATGAGATTAATGTGAACTAGTTACCGAGAGGTTGAAGTCAATATCCTCCGCGTTTACTTCATTTTCATCGGCCCACTTATTCCAATCAACTTTTATTGAGAAAGAAATAAAAAACACAGAAATTTTTAGAACGTAAAATTTTTATTAGAGCAGGGTTATTTTTAATTTTATGAGAAGTCAAATATATACACAACTATTACAATACCCAAAAGGGAAAAACACTCTCAAATCTCTAAAATATTTCTAAAACTTTACATTCAAAAACTAAAAATTTCCAAAACAAACTCAACCAAACTAATCTAAATAAAACTCAATCCTAACTAAAAAATTATTTCTCTAATTAAATCTTTGGTAAAGAAAAAAACTTAACCCAACAAATTTGTTCTTTCGTATTCAAATCAAGTCTTCATTCTCAACGTCATCTGCATTTCATCTTCTTGATTCACAAAATTAATTTGTTCCTTGTTCTTGCACACTTTTTTTATATGTCTCATTTATTTGCAACCCCTGCATTGAACATCATGTCTGAACCAACAGTATTATGGTAAAAGAGAAAGTTTCTTACAATGTTTATAAGGAGGATATTTTCCTTTGCTGTCACTGTCTCCAACTGTCTTCTCGGTCCACCTTTTACCTTTACCAATTTGGTCCACTTTATAAATTCCCTTAATGACATGATCTACTTTTTCCTTTCTGAAAATTTTTCTTTGCTCTTGAGCTTCAAAGGTTGAAAGTAGTTCCGCTAGAGATATTTCTGATAAATCTCTAGTTTTTTAAGAGAAGAAATTTTGGACTCAAACTTTCTGGCAAAGTCACCAATATTTTTCAACAACCCGGCTATCAGGAAGTTATTCTCCTAAAAGTTTGATTTTATTGACTATCTTCATTAAGCGATCTGTGTAGTCCTTCAATGGCTCTGTTTCTTACATCTTCTACATCTCGAATTCCTTTTTCAAATTCAAGATCTGCATTCTCTTTGTCTTCACATTGTCCTGATATTCTTATTTCAAGATATCTCATGCATGTTTTGCAGTCTTACAGGCCATAATTTTTTAGAACACCTTTTCTGATACAGCAAAGTGAATACAGATCTTGGTCTTGTTCCTCCTCTTTTTAGCCTCCCTAAATTCTTTTAGTTGTGCAATTGTTGGATCTTCAGAAAGTGGTTGGAATTCATCATTTTCTACCAACTCCCATAATCCACTTACTTCTAAATAGGCTTCCATTTTGACAGCCCAAACAGGATAATTTTCTCCTTTAAAAACTGGAGGAGCAGAATGAAATTATTCCCTCCTTCCATTGATAAAAGAAGATTGACTAAAAAAAAAATTGTTTGTTAGAAGGTCCTCACTAATTCACTCACACAGGTCCTCCTAATTGAACCTAAGCTCTTGATACCACTTTGTTGGGAAAGAGATGAAAAAGAGCAGAGATTTTTAGAGCCTAAAATTTTTATCAGAAGAGGGTTCTTTTTTATTTTATGAGAAGTCTAATATATTGACAATTCTTACAATAACCAAAAAAGAAAAACACTCTCAAATTCCTAAAATATCTCTAAAACTTTACGTTAAAAAGCTAAAAATATTCAAAATAAACTCAACCAAACTAATCTAGATAAAACTCAATCCTAACTAAAATTTATTTCTCTGATTAAATCTTTGCATTAAAAATAAAAACAACTTAACCCAACAGCTTTCACAAAGGCTAAAAGCTTATGTTCGGTTCGTTTTTTTAGTGTGTATTTTTAGGTGTTTTTTGTATTAGAAATGTAAAAAAGTGTGTTGGAAATGTAAAAAGGTGTGTTGGGATGGGATAGTTATTAATAAAATATACTGAAAAAACCATCAAAAAAAGCAAACAAACAGAGCAAAGTGTACTTCCTTCAGAAGTCGAGGCCACCATTTGCTCTCGGCCTTCTTCACCAAGTACTCGACTTGTTTGCTATTTATGACCTCTTGGAACTGAAATACACATGTACGCGCGCCCGCGGTACATTCAATATCAATAGTTCAGGTTCATAAATCCTAGTACATTTCTCCTAAGATGAGAGTTCATTAAAAAAAATTTTAAAAGAAAGAAAAGAAATTAAGACAATAAACTGAGATTTAGAAAACAAAAGGTTACTTACATTAACGTCAACACTGTCAAAGAGATCAAATTCAGCTTCATATTGGGCATCATTATCTCCTCCTGTACCAGAGAAAGAGAATTTCTCTTGTGGCTCCAACTTCAGTTTCACATTCTTGGCGTTTTGTAAATCAACAGTGAAATAGCACGTCTGCCCGTTGAGCCCATAATAGCTCAGGAGACAGGCTGATGACATAACACAATCATTATTACCTCATTTGCCTAAATATTACTGAGCTCTGTCCTAAAATGACTATTCGATGTGGAATTTTATTTACAAAAAAAATTAAAATCTCAAACCGTTTAATCATTTCGGGATATGTTTTTATCCAACATGGTATGAATGAAAGAAAAAAAAAAAAAAAAGAACAGGAACATGAAAAAACTATGGCTAGCATGGACAGAAGAACTATACCTCATCTTGGATGATTTCTTTTAGCGGTTCTTCTTCGATGAAAATAGAATGTAGTAGGAGAGGTTAGTGATTGTGTCTTTTCATCCCAAAGTTTGGGTCACATCAACCAAAATATCCCAAAGTTTAAGAACATGTCATTTACATCCCAAACTTTTTAAAAACATGTTATATTAGGATATTCGTTAAATTTTTAAGTCCAGTTAATTAATTAATGGTGGTACTTTATTCTCTTTCTCTTCCCCCAATTCTTTTAATCATTTAACACGTTGCACTAACTCTCACCTTATAAGAAAATAGCTAAACCTAATTTGGTCTTCACATCATCCATTCTTCCCTTGCTTAGAAAAAGAAAAAAAAATCGAAGATTCACCTTTTAGATTGATAACAATCATGAGAGGTTTTGTATGTGTCCTAATTAGAAAGTAACCCTTATTTCATTTATTTTTTTAAATATGTAGCATCATTATAAAAATTGGTGTTGTAATTGATGCAGAAGCATGCAACTTTTTTGCTTGGCATGGACCAAATTTACCAAACGCAAGCATGAAACTTTTTTGACTATAAAAAATGGGAGAAAAGAAACTGAACGAAATATCGCCATTAATAATTTGAAAAAATTAACAAATGTCCTAATATTACATATTTTTAAAAAGTTTGGGATAAAAATGGCATGATTTTAAACTTGGGGATATTTTAAATGGTGTGACTCAAACTTTGGGATGAAAAAGCCCATTCTCTCTTTAGGGATTAGGAATGTGCACACGATACTTACTCGGAGTGAAGCGAGGAAAGAAAAACGATTTGAGAAACAAGATTTTATGATTTTTTGTTGTCAAAATTGGGTGCTTTAGTAAATTCTAAATTACATTGACATATTCTTAGTTTGAAGGAAAAAAAAAAAACATTTAGGATTTCGTGTTTGTAAATATTGCATTTGTGGAGCTCAATTTCGTTTTTATGTTTTGAACTGATATATATGAGCAGAGAGAAAATAATCCGTTGGGAAATTTCTCGGGGACTTTTCTAGTGCAAAAGCAACGCGTTCATCTGGACTTGTCTATTACCTTTAGATCAAGTGAGTTTTCCTTATCTGCGTATTAGATGATAATCTGAAATCAATATAACTTCTTTCCAATTTCTCCCCTAACTTGGACAGTTGTACTCTCTATGTTCTATAGATATTATTTTAATTTATTGTTTTGTTTTAAGCAATATATAGAGGAGGATATGGATTTTCAAAGGTGTATTTGCAGTATATCCTCTCCTCTTCTCTTTTTAGAAACTATAAGTTTCAAGCAGTGCGCCTTTCCTGTACTGTTGGCCTAATCAATAAGATTGGCTGGTTATGCCTGTTCTATCTCATGTTTAAATTTCACTTAAACTGGATAATCATTTGGGGACGTTGAGAATATTTGTTTTCTGACATATCTCCTATCTCATGTTTAAATTTCACTTAAACTGGATAATCATTTGGGGACGTTGAGAACATTTGTTTTCTGACATATCTCTATTTGGACAGTTATACACATTGGACAGGAAACCAAGATCATCGAGTTCTCTTCCTACATATCTGATGGGTACAGCTCAACTAAACCCATCCTAACCAACTCTACTACCCTCAAGAGAGAGCTTTTCAATAGTGGAGATGAATTATGGATTTGAGTAAATACTTGTACGGCTTCATACAGATTAGATTCTTCTACAGCCTCGATACATTTTTATATAATACTCAAAATTCTGTGCGAGAAGGATATAGTACAAATCAAATAAAACTCAGATTCTACGCGAGAAGGATAATACGAACCAAATTTACCACATACAGGTTGCGTAACAGAAGAAACAAAGCTAGACTGAATAACCTTTTGATAACTGCTGTTTAGCCACAAATCATATCGATATATTAGCAGTCTGAATATAGCAAGGATCAGTCAAAATCAAACCAAAGTACAACCAATACTCACAGAATAGTGAAAGCTCAGTTTGTTGGCCTATCCCTAGCTAATATTCACGTTCACACTACTGGAAAACCACAAAAACCTCATGTCTACATCCTCTCAAGCTTTTGTTTCTGTTTCACTAGCAGATTGTTTTGCGTCCAGTTCACTACTGGCAGCTGGGTTTGCTTTGTTGACCTCATTTTCGTCCTCGGTGTCACTGCCATCATCTCCTGCATACTCAAGATGAAAATCAAAATCATCATCCCTAGCACAACAGAACAAGTTACTAAATGAGAACAAGGTATCAAAATCAAAGACTTGCCGTCATCTTCGTAGTCAACATTCTCAATCACATCATCAAGTTCTCCATCTCCTCCCATGTTTAGATTCTGAATGTAGACAAAAGATTAATATCCAAAATAAGACAGGAGAACAAGCCATGTACCAAGTATGATTAGCAGTTAGCTTACTGAGAAGTCCATGCCTCCAAAATGCATGTCAGACCCAACTACAAGAAACAAAGCAAACCATCATGGCAGGTTAACAAAAAGACACGTTAAGTAACAATCGAGAAAACCGGAACTCAGAACTTACAATTATCTTCTTTTTTGTCCAGTTCATCTTCATCTACCCACTTATCCCAATCAACTTTCAGAAATACAGGAGTCCTTACACCATGCTTCAGAAGTTTATCCCACCATTTACTCTCAGCCTTCTTCACAATGTAGCAGATCTGTCTAGAGGTGATGCTAGATTTGCTCTCCTGAAATCGTATGCGCAATTCAGGTCCAATGATGCATTTTTCCAAGGTGAGGATTCGTTAAAGAGATAAACTGAGATTAGACAACACTTACATTAACGTCAACCTTGTCAAAGAGATCAAGTTCAACTTCATACGGTGTGTTATCAGCTCCAGCAGTAGCAGAAAAGGAAAATTTTCCTTCTGGCTCCAACTTCAGTTTGACATCTTTGGCATCCGGTAACTCAACAGTGATAAAGACCTTGTCCAACCTTTGAGCCCATAATACAGTAGGATGTCGACTGATGATAGAAAACATACTCAAGCGTTAAGGCTTCTTTGAACTTCATTTATATTCTCATTTATCTCTACAATAATGAGATTTGTTACTTTAATCCATTATGGAAGATGCATTTCAGGAAAGTTTATAAAATACCCTTTTTAACTGCATTGGCTGCAAGTAAAAATTATATGTGTTCTACAAAGGCCAATGGGTGGTCCACACAAAATCTCAACATACAACCTAAATTAATTTCCATTCCTAATATGGCATTGTCAAAAAGCAAACCATGCAGAGCCCAATTCTTCATCTTCTGGCAGTTTGATCATTAACAAATGTTTACTATCCAACCGTCTAGGACCATGTCCTGGAAAGGGTTTTATATTATGACAACACCATAACAAACAAACACTAATCCTTTCAAGCCAAGTTTCAGAGCTTTTTAGTGACAGATACATGTTGCGTGATATAAAACCTAGTTGGTCAATTGCGCAAACTATGATCAGACCCGCACCATTACTGGATCCAAATAAACCAAAAATATCACCATAATTCCAGTCACGAACCTGGATCACCTCATACACCTTCAGTGTACGATCAAGAAGCATCATACTCAGACTAGTTGCTTCCGAGCAAGAACATCAAATCCAAATAACTTGTCCCAATATTCCTGATCCCAACGCTCTGAATCCGCAAAACAAGAATCTAACTTGTAGTACCAAACTGATGACACTGATGACCACACAAGCCTTTCAAATTTTGCAATGCAAGCAGCAACAACTAAAGGCGAAGTCAACTATTACGATCTCTACACGCCATTCAGCACTACATTTTGCCCTATTAAGTACAAAATTCAAGGAAGACAGCAAAAGATCGACCGCGAAGTAAACGAGCTTAACGAAAAAAAAAATCAGTATCAAAATTTGAACGAACACTAAACCCGAGCGGTCTCGGTAGAAAGAAAACAATAAGCACGAAAGATTGATCAACTCAAGCAGAATCACAAAAGAAAACCAGAGGGAAGAAAAATTAGAAACCGAAGCACAAGCACAGAGCGCGAAAGGACATAGGGAAGACAACTAAGAGATGCAGGGGAAGCCATGGAAAGAAGAAATCCTTACCTCATCTTCGAAAGCTTCTTTCGTGAAAAATGTAGCAGTTTTCGAGGTACGGTGAGGAGAGCAATTCTGCAGCATGTACAGGGGGTTCAAGGGGAAGTGAAGAGAGCAAAGAAACGGTTAGAAGCTGGAAAACTCTAGATACTTCCTGTAAATTTAAATTTAGGGAGAAAATAGATATATATTTTCTATCATCACTGGAGAGTCATTTTATTTTATTATATTTGGAAGAAAAAAAAACTTTTTTATATAAAAAGGAAAAAGAAGAAAAGGTTATTCTTCATTGTATAATTTTTCAACTAATAATGTGTCTATACTCACCCCCCCGGGAGGCGCAGAAGAGCAAAAGTGTAACAAGTGAAATCAATCCTACCGTAATTAAAACTTTTGGATCCATATTTAGCTTTCCTAATTCTCCAATCAAAGTTGACAACAATAATTCAATGAATATTTGGGTGTTATTACAACATTTTCGTTTTCCTCGCGTAAATGTATTTAAAATTTAGAAAAAAAATTTGGGGGCGCCCTTCCAAGAGAGAGAGAGAGGGAAAAAAAAAAACACTAGTAATGCCAAAAGCAAGTAGCCTTCAACTGGAAAGTTATACAGGAATGCATGCATAATCAGCACTTTCTTCTTACATTTCAACCACAATACAGCATTGTCAATCTGCCAGTCAGAAAAAAGGCAAGTTGCAAATCAGGGATCATCTACTACTGCACAATATAAAGCTCACGATGAGCTTACAACCCATTCAGAAGGTTAGCGAAATCCACATGAAACTCTATGCAGAAAGAAAGAAAGAAATCTCAGAAGTGGGAAAAGAATGAACAATATCAAACTCTCCGAGCAGGTCATGATCAGACAACTTCAGTTCATGCTGTGAAATATTGATGCCTCAGCGTCGCTGATGATCTAGGAAGCCCTTTCCATGAGCATCAAAACAATTGACAGGGAAAGCTTTTCGCTGCAGCAAACTGAATGAACATAGATCGTGATACTGCAATTAGTCTTTGATCAGCCTTGCTTCGTAACCTCCCTCAGGTCGCTTCAGAAGTCTATACGGCACATATGTTCCAAGAAGCTTGTCCCAGATGGGAAAGAATGGCTGTGAATAGTTGAATTTTAAGCCTTGGAGTTGATGATGAATGTCATGATATGCAGAATTATTCTGGAAAAACATATGGAATATATTGCCAGGAAGCCAAAGTCCGCAATGATCATCCACGGTTTTGACGACAGCAAAGCAGAAGAAGTACACAGCAGTTCTTGCAGTCATTCCAGAGACCAGGAAAGAAAGGGCACCACCAAATGTGTCTAATAAAAGACCTTCGAGGGGGTGGTTATATAAGGCCCCAATTGCATAAGGCACAACCAACCTATGATGTTGAGAATGGATATGCCGGTACAGAAATTTGTTCTGGTGCATGTATCGGTGCACAAAATACTGCCACGTGTCCATAACAAACATTGCAATGATTATTTGAACAATCTGGACAGTTATGGATGGCTGAACTACGACTTCAGTCGAATTACTTGAGGTCAACTGCAAAGAAAGCAAGAAGTTGTTCATCCCCAAATGATAGGTGACCAAACCGTAGTTCAACTCATGTGCCAAGAACAGAAAGATGATATATCTATAAAACAATGTATCATTTATTCACAGTAAGTGTTCCCCAACGAAACACTCATAGCCTCCAAAATACCGGCCGAGACTCAATTTCAGACAGTTTGAAGATCAATCCATTTCAACAACAACAAAAAAATTTCAAGATCAACAATCCACAATTCCACACCTAATAGTTGCACAACAATCCTTGATACAATCAATGATAATAATTCTCTAACATATATCTTTGAGAGACAAGAAAAGAAAAGCATGATCAAAGCAAGGTTTCCTCATTTCCTGAGAAGAGATGGACCTATATATCATCTACTCCATCCTGGTCAAGATTGCAACAGATAAACAATCACAACGCACACAAAGGTATAATCAATTTCCTGGAATATGATGGAGATGAATAACAAAGACAGGCATTTTGACTAAAACAATGTTAACAAGATCTCTACTTCTTACTGCTAGAACTCTTCCAAAATTTCTGCCAAGTGCAGGATGGCAGAAACTGTAGACATTAGCATTCGCGATAGTCGCATGAAACTAGACAACTAAACATGTCCTTCATTTGTAGAAGCAAGATTGGAGAACAAAAGGGTGGATAAGGTCGTTTAGACATGTGGAGACCTCCAGAGACACCGGTATGCTTCTAGTAGATAGAGATACATACGTACTCAAATTAAAAGTAACAGGAAAAAAAACTTGGAAGATGTCAAACATAAACAGAAGAACACGAAGGTGCAATATGCCTTATAATATCTGACTCTAAATAATACAATACAAGGATAAGTCTTGTCATTGCTGTTGTACTTCGTGTACACTATCTCACAAACCTATATAGCCAAATCAGAGATAAGACACTAACAGTTATCTATTTAATATGAAAATTAGATTTGGGTCCTAGCAAAAGATATGGAGAGATGGTGTGTCGTGGAATGTGCAATAACTACAGAACCTATATCCCACAAATTATCTTTTAAAAATTATAATCATCAAAACTAGAATCAGAATAGAAATTCTATAAGTAGAATGTAACCAGAAGAACTGAACTATTCTAAATTTTATTTTATCCCAATAAGTGCTGCCTATTAATCACCCCAAAGAATGCAGATCTAGCTTTTCTGCTACAAGCATGTTCAACCACATATAATTAAGAAAACAACATAGTGGAAAAGATTTGCTGACCCTAATAAAACTAGCAATTAACCCAGAACATTCTAGCAAATATTATTCCACATAAGCAAAAGAAGAGATCTTTCAAGATCAGGAAAGTCCTCTATACCTCAGTAAAGAGACTACACAGAATGATCAATATGATTAGAAAGGATTTGGGAGTTGAGGCATCAAAGCATATACGTCATACATTCATAAGTTTGTTATTTCTGTTTCTGTTTCCTTTCCTTTCAGGAAGGGCAGAAATTACCTTGCAGAATAAAACCATTTATCCTAGTCAATTATAACCCTGGAGCAAAACGTAATCTGTTCCAGGAAGGTTACATCTTCAATCCAACTTTAGTTACAGTATCTGATATGAGCATAGTAAATTACCAGAGACTTAGAAAGGGATCCTAGACATTTTCGTTAAAGAAAAGGAAATTTAAATGTAGTTGATTTTGCATTTAGCTTTCCATTTAACATGTTACATAATAGTGACCAGAAAACTTGTTGATCTTTGAAATGCCTGCTGTCATCACAAAAAGAAACAAAACGATTGCCTCGACACAGTCTCACATCTGTCACTCTTCTCCCCAAAATTAGTGGTTTCACGCCTGCAATTCTAGTGTTTTCCATCACAACCTAAGAAACAAAATCTTCTAAGTAGTAGCGTTTATTATCAGTGGTCTCCAGTGCGAGGATCAGCATTTCCAATGTAAGATTTGACGAAGATTATTGAATCAAAATTTAAAAGCATGCCAATATAGATACCATTACGAGCGAGATCATTAGTTATCTTGACTGATTCTGGTATTCCTTCCACTCGTTACATGAAACATGCGGACATAATCAATTTTTCCAGCATATCTATACATGCTTCTTGCAACAAAAGATTTTAAGCTAGGATATTCTCCACTAACTCCCACATATTGTTAAAGGCTGCCAGGCCAAAGCCAACTTGTAGCCTTACTATATGCCGAAACTACACCAAGAAATTTCAGTCATTAATCTAAAAATTTGAAGAGGGAACATTAAGCACATTATCTGTGAAAGAAGTAGACCAATATAGGAGTATCTTTACTAGCAAGGCAAACATAGAAGAACTAATTTTCTAATCCATAGCAGGATAAACCCAAACATTCCAAGTTTTTAAATGAAATTTGTGATTAAACCATACAGGAAACGACACAATCATCCAACCAGAAACTTCCCCAACAAGAGCCTTTATCTGACTTCAAATCAAGCAAAGTACTCAAATTACCTAATCATTCACTGTGACACACTAAATGCCAAATATTCATAGAAAAAGTTTGATTACTGGTCGTAACTTACCGGACAGGAAATTGTTACATGATGCCACAACGTATGTACTTTTAATGGGGAAAAAGACAGACGTTTTCAAGTCCTTGTATGAGCTAATTTAACAGTTGAACAACATTATACAAACAGAACAGAACGATGCAAATTCATAAAATAAAGTAAACTAAGAAATTTAAGCATTAAAGATGTTCTCACCAGAAAGAGCAATTCGGCAACCACTGCCTGGAAAAGTTGTTGCACGAGAACACCTTTAATAACTGAAGGCAAGGGCACCACATTCTTCTCATCTTCCTCTTTTCTGGTGTGCAGTCTATAATTATCTAAAGGAGGCAGCAGCTGATAAAACCCGCCATATATCCAATACACTAGAATTGGAGCAAACGTCCCCATTGTTTCATCACTCACATACCCCTCCCAAAACACCATTGTTTTTTAAATTCTTAATTCACCTTTTTCGTACTTTTCCTTACTTGGGTTTTGGCTACAATGCACCGAAAAATCCCAAAATTCTAAGCTCAAGATCTATGCCTACAAAGAAATACACAACATGACCACACAAAACCCTGCAAAATCAAAAGGGGAAAAGGAAACAGATATGGAAAAGGCGTTAGAACGCTCGGAAAACTATAATGTAATTAAAACAAAAAAAAAAAAAAACAAAACTTTATGTTCTGGAAACTTACACAAATGATGATTGAGCATGTGGGGTGGTTGAAATTCCTGAGAAATGGATCTGGGCTTCTTCAGTTTTTTGTGTCTGTGAAGATTGTAGGAGGTGGAATGTGGGATGACAGTTGTGAGATTCGATAGGAAATTCTTCCGAGTACTTATTGAGAAGTTTCGTTTGAGAGAATGGGAAAAAGGGGTTGAAAGGCAGAAGAAAGAGGAGTGGAACTGTGGGCAAGCAAATAAACCAGGTGAAAATTATTATTATTATTATTATTAGTTTTAAGGAGAAAATTCCATCATTCTCAGATTTTTATGTTTCTTTTTTTAAAAAAAAATACAAAAAAATAAGGGAAGAAGCAGAAGAAGAAGAAGAAGATTTGGAGCTAATATGGTGGTATTTAGAAGAAACCGTAGGCAACAAAAAGTGGTCATTTGGGGTGGTATGTTTGAAATTTAGACATAGGATAATTAAATTACATAATAAAAGTATATATATATAGTTTCATATAAATTAATGGATTGACCACAATTACAAATTATTAATAATGATATAAAATGAACTTAGTGTATTAGCAGTAAAATTAACATTCCAAGAAATATTCCTGTTGATCTTCTTAGACATAAGTAATGCTTCATTCAAGTTGTTGTGGAATCATACCCCCGCAATTTCACAATGAGATGTAAAAGATTTGTTTTTCATTACCACAAGATGATATCCAGTCAAAAAACACACAAAATTTAAAGGGTAATACTATCTCCCAAGTCAACCTTCCTTACATAGTTGATTTGATAATCAAAAAAACTATCCGTCAAGGTATTTAAGAAACTGTAGTTAAAGTAAGAGGTACAAGAAATGACTGAAACATGATATTCCTTTCGTCCCATAATTATTATCCAGTTTGAGTTTTCATTTCTAATTTAATTTGTACTAAAACTGAAATCTCAAACTGGACAAAAAAATTTTGGGACAGAAAGAGTAGTAATTTTGGATTACAATATATTTTAACCAATCCTGCCGGATATCACAATATAGTTATACCATCAAAACCTACCGAAATTTTAATATTTAGAATTTAGCTCCTTTATTACACGCCAAAACAATACATATTAGCAAGTTTGTACATAGTAGTAATTTTGTCAATACTTCAAATGTGATATTCTTTTCAACAATTTGGTAATTGTTGGATGCAATATATTTTAAGAAGAGAGACATACTCTAGGACATTTTTGGCTTCACTTTGAAAAAGAAAATTGATTTTTAGTGTTCTACTTCTTCTCAACATTGGGTTGTTGATTAAGACAACCATTAGTAAGGATAGAACCTGCTTAAAATGCTCTGCCAGGCAAGATGTACTGCCAACAATCATTTGAGCTTTGGATAATAATAAATAAGATTTTTGTACATTACTATTATTTATTAGACTTTACAATAATAACATTAAACCTCATGTGCTTTTAAAGAGTGCCATTATATTATGCTGTTTTTCGCTTTTGTATTTCCTAAAGAGGGCCAACAATCGTGGAGCTAGAATGCCATTGATTTTAAGTTAGTACATAAACGAGTTGAGCTAAAATTGAGTTCAATCACCACAAACATTTTGCTAAACTGGATTCTTTTCTTTTTTTTTTTTATCCTTTTTTTAATTGGATCGAACTAGAATTCGGACCGCATCAGATAAACTGGTTTGAAGTTTAAACTTTATGTCGACCAAAATGTATATTCTTTTATATCGAAATGATGTTATGTCAGGATTTTTAATTTTAAGACGTGAAATGATTATTTTGAAATGCATAAAATGAATGAGTAAAAAGTCAAAAACCATTTCCGGCAAGCTCTCATTCAGCAATTCAACATCACACCATCTCAGATTCAAGATTTATCTCATGCATGCATCCATCTCACTAAAGATGATGAGTTTGAGACATATCATAGGTGGTGATGCAGTAATTAACGGACTCGAATAACAATTTAACGGACTCGAAATTCTTACACTATTTTTCGTGTAGCATACAGTGGTTTCTTTTGCTGTTTGATAAGACACATGTATATTTTTATTAAGTACAAATAAATATATAATCCCGAAAAAGTACTAATAAACTAACAAAATCATGAGCTTGCTTACACCAGAAAATTGAAATCAAAGCAACCAAAACATATGGATCGTTTTCTAACACAAGATTGGGCTCCAACCCCACCAAATGGCCCATTTCACGTGACCATGGTCATTGGTGCGATTTCTAGGACCAGAATTATATGGAAATGAGAAGTTTTTGTCAGGTGAAATTTGTAGTAGTATCTCATAGAGAACATTTTTCGAAGTACTCCCTCGGCCCTTATTATGTAATATTTTGGTTTGCCTTAAATTTTAAAATTTTATTTTAAAATTATATTTTCACATTTATTATATTTTTCAATTATTACAAATATTTTTAAGTTTTTATTTTCAATTGGAAAAGCTACTAAATGAATCTTAGAATAAATCAAAATAACTTATAATAAGGATGAAGAGAGTATAATAAGACCACATGTTCCAAAAATCTTCTATTTCCTTAAAAGGTGACACGAACATCTCTCTCAAACAATTTGGCAAATTATTTTACAAAAGTGGAGTAATCGTGTTAATTGTTTATATATAGACAATTGAGAGACACATTAGACCGAACAAGACGATTTCCCTCCAAAATTTCATGTACATAGTTTTTTGTTGTTTTTTTTTTTTTTTGCTAAAGTTTGAGAAAACAAAAATACATAACTTAATGTTTGTTATTTTATTTTATTTGAAAAGGTGACTTAATGTGTGTAATAAAGAAAAAAGGATCATACTCTCGAAGAAGAACTCTTGGTGCAGTAACAGATATAAGTGTTTAATTTCCATATCCAAAATTCCGAATAATTACTTTTCAGACTTGATCATTTTCTTTTTCCTTAGGAAAGCAATTAATATGTCTAAAAACAATCACACAAATTACGTTTTTAAGATAAGCAACACTTACATGTGCCATCATGTTTGCGTCAATATATGATATCACTTTGAACAACCATCCTCGAGAAATATTATTGCCAAAATAATAATTTGTCAAAGGTGCACAGGAGCAGCACAATGTGTCAATGTTTACATAGATTTAAAGCGGGTCTTCATTCTAGGGTCTAGTAAAAATTAATAAAACACATTTATCAAAAATAAAGTAAAATTTGTAACCCCATTAAGAAAAGTACGTGTGAAGTTTATTAATTAATTTTAGCACAAACAGAATAAGTAAATTTTCAATAACTATTTTTTTAATAAGCTTTTGTCGTGAAATACACTGGGGGAACGCCTCTGCATATTAAAAAAGGGAAAAAAAAGTACTATTTGTTATTTTTTTTTGTGAAAAGGTAAATATATATTGAAAAGTAAACACCAAAAGTGAATATACAAACTGTCTGTTTCCCTACTCCATCTATACATTCTCAGACAACCTGTCTAATCAGAAACAGAACTTGATAAAAAAAAGAAAAAAAAAAACTCAACTATTCTATCATTTACAATTTAAACAAAGCAAAAATGTTGGTCAAAACTCCAAGAGCTGAAGCAGCAGTCTTCTGCTTTGTCTTGTGCATTAATCTACATTTGATCTCCCCCTATAATGTCTTTATGATAGTATCAGGTGTTCCTGCTTGACTCTCAAACAATCTTTGGTTGCGTTCTTTCCACAGATAGTAAATGCAAGCACATAGTGCAGCCCAAAGGATTCTCCTTTTGGTACTTTATCCCTTCCATACACTAAAAGCCTGAGCAGCCCAGGTATCCCCAAACCTTCTCAATTTCCTGCATCCCAACCAGCTAGCCAATCTGTCCAGCAGTGCCTTTGCAAAGTCACATTGAAAGAAGATGTGACTAATACCCCCAGGCTCCTTATTGCACAGAACACAACTAAAATCAGAGAAGGCAACATGTCTGATAGCCAATCTGTCTTTTGTTAACATTCTCTTTTTCTACACCAACCATGAAATAAAGGCATGCTTAGGCACATTTGTGTTAGCCCAGATGACCTGAGTTTTAGCTATTTTGTTACCACAGCCTAACAGCCATTTATATCCTACAGAAACTGTATATCTATCCCCTTTCCCTGCTATCCAAGTACTGTCATTAAAACCCATTCTAGCTATATCACATAATTTTAAAACTTGTTTCCATTGCCAATTGGAATCAAGTTTGAGTTCTACCTCCCAAATAGTAGCACCTTTTAAATAGACTTCATTAATCCACTTCATCCACAAGGATTCTTTATTTAAAGCCAGCTGCCAAACTTGTTTTAGAATTGCTACTTTGTTCCAAAGACTATTATCCCCTAGTCCCAGTCCTCCTTCATTTTTCCTCCGACAAGCGTCTTCCCATTTTAACAAGGATCCAACCCTTTCCCCTTCTTTGCCACCCCACAGAAACTCACGACATATTTTGTTTACCATGGAGGTTACAGACTGAGGCAGAATAAAGACAGAGCCCCAATATGAATGCATTGTCATCAATACTGAGTTGACAAGTATGGCTCTCCCTGCATACGACAAATGTCGTGTGCTCCAACATCAAACCCTAGCCACAATCCTATTAATAATTCCTTGAGATTTCACCTGAGACCACTTCTTAGGTGATAAAGAGACACCTAGGTACTTCACGGGAAAAAAACCTACTGAAAACTTGGTAATGTGACAAATTTTCAGTTTAAGATCTTCTCCTACGCCACCAAAATATACAGAGGACTTCTGATGATTAGCATAAAGGCTAGTAGTTCTCGAAAACCCATCAAAACCCCCCCATTATTCTCTGAACAGTATCTAAATCTGCTTTGCAGAAGATCATAAGATCATCTGCAAAACAGATGTTGGTAAGTTTCAACCTCTCATATTTAGGGTGGCATTTAAATCTATCATCAGTCACAGCTTTCATGCTTCGGGTAAATACTCCATTACCAACATGAAAAGTAAAGGTAATATCGGGTCCCCTTGATGTAGGCCTCTCTTCCCCGGAAAAAAAAACCCCCGTAATACCCACCATTAATGGAAAGGGAATAACTAGTAGTAGATATACAAGTTCTAATCAAGCTTACAAACAACTCAGGAAATCCGTTACCTACCATCATATCATCCATAAAACCCCGTTCAACCGAGTCGTAGGCTTTTTTCAGATCAATTTTCACCAGTAACCTCCCACTAACCCCCTTCCTCCTATACATTCTTATTAATTCCTGAGCAATCAGAATATTTTGCAAGATTGAGCTATCTTTCACAAAAGCATTCTGATTCTCAGAGACTAACACACCAAGTACATCATTTAGCCTATTACAGAAAATTTTCGAAATGCAATTATACAATACATTACAACATGCAATAGATCTAAAATGGCTTGCATTAAGAGGAGATTCAGTTTTTTGGAATTAAAGCAAGAGTGGTAGAGTTCAGTTGCTTTAATACCTGACCAGTAGAGAAAAACTCCATCACAGCTTCTGTTACACTTGAACCAACCACGCTCCACGTTGCTTTGAAAAAACCTGCTCCGTAACCATCTGGTACTGGACTTTTGTTGATGTTTATCCCTCACATAGTAGCCTTTATTTCTTCTTTCTGTATTGGTCTGATCAATCTCACTTGTTGTTCCACATTTAGCACTGGTCCTTGCTTAAAAACTTCCTGATTAGCCTTAACTCGATCTGAAGCTTGTCCCAGATGTGCCTGATAAAATCGTAAAAAATGGCCTTCAATCTCCTTCCAATCATTGATCACGCTCCCCGAATCCTCCCAGACAGACCAGATTCGATTGCGCATTTTCCTGACCTTTAAAAAGGAATGAAAATATTTTGAATTTTCATCCCTTTCCACTGTCTACCTCTCTTTAGCCTTTTGTTGCAGAAAGTTGTTGGCTGCCTTACTTAACTGAATGTAACTCCTAAAACCCTCCCTTTCAGCTTGTTGTTTGCCCACGTTTTGAGGATCAGTGCTTAGTTGCTCCTGTAAAACCTGCAGTTGTACCCGAGCCTTTGTAGCTTCTTCAACGATATTCTGGAACTGTTCTTTGTTTAGTTTCTTCAACTGGCTTTTAGATGCTTTAATTTTATACAAATTTGGAACATTTTAGTACCTCTAATTTCTTCCTTCCAGACATCCCTTACAATACTCAAGAATTGAGAAGACTAACTCCACATGTTGAAATAACGAAAAGGTCTTGACTGTTGGTTGATTTGTTCTTCCATTTTGATCTCTAAGGGTGTGTGATCTTATACACTCTCCATTAGGACTGATACCACTGATTGTATGTACTCATCAATCCACTCTCCATTTACCAAAGCTCGGTCCAGTTTGGCATAAATCCTATCATCCCCCACCCTCTGATTACACTATGTGAAAGTTTTCCCAATCTGTCGAAGAACCCTCACTTTACAAGTGTCAAGACAGTTCTGGAATTCTTCGAAGTCTAGTAGTTCCACCTTCTGCCCTCCAATTTTCTCCTCTGGCTTCAAAATGTTGTTGAAATCCCCCATTAATAACCATGGTTCCTTAATAGACTGAGCTAGTGTCATTAGATCAGTCCATAGAACAGACCTTCTGTCAGCCTCATTAAGTGCTTATATCCCCGTAAACATGAATACTTTCCTTTCTTTTTTATCTTTGGAATGGCAATGTATGAACTGATCAGTTTGAGACTGTGGGGTCAGCTCAAATCTGTCATTCCATAAAATAGTAATTCTACTTCTACCATTACTACTATAACTTGTAACTGAATGCCAGCCCTGCCAATGTCTATTTAAATACTCCTCTATTCTTTCCTGAGTCATTTTAGTCTCTAGCAAACATAAAATACTGTATTTATTCACTTGTAGCGACCTGTTTAACTCTTTTTGCTTGAGGGGAGAGTTCAACCCCCTGATGTTCCAAGAGACTATACTACACATTGGAATTGGGACCAGGATCGAAACCACTCTCCATAATCCCAACTCTTTTGTGAATAGTAACATTAGTCACTGAGGGGGTTGCATCTTTTCTAGCTATCTCAGGCTGAGACTGCACAACAGTTGCTTCCTTAGTATCTAGACTAATGTTACTCCCATGTACTTCATGGCCTGTTACTCCATTGGTTGCAACCTGCTTCCTTTGATCCATAGTATCATCATTCCTAATTTCATTGCTACTACCCTTGGGAACTGCCACCTGCTCCACAGGGCTGCTTTCCATTGTCGGCTCCTTTCCTGCCCTTCTCACTCTGTTTGTGGTGTTTTTTGAGCTCTTTTATTCCTCTGATTTCCCAATCTACAGTGAACTGTTTGATGTCCATAACCCATACAACAGCTACATCTAATAGGTAGTCACTCATAAGTAACCTTATGTACTCTTATATTACCCTTCTCATCTTCAAATACGATTTTATCAAGCACAGGCTCACTGATTTTCATCTCAACTAGAACCCTAGCATACTGGACTCGGTTCTTCTTAATAGTACAACCATCAGCTAGCAAGGGACAACCAATAGTACTGACTAAACTGCTCAGAGAAATCCAGGTTCCAATATTTAAGTTCAAGGCCATGCATTTGAATCCAAAATGGAACACTATCTACTTCTTTATAATTCAAACCCATTTCCACCGTCCAAGGTTTAACAATCAGAGGTTTAAATCCAAATTAAAAGAAATTTATGCCTAGTACTTCATCTCTAGCATGTAGAGTAGTAAAACGCACAACAAACAATCCATTAAGAAGTCTGATTACCTTGTCTATACCAAGTTTGCCCCAGAGTTTCTGAAAGTAATCCTCCATTACCCGGGTATGCGGGTTAGCTCCCAACACAAAACAAATTACAGAGGCCTACCAATAGTCCGCTTCCTTCTGAACATATTCTCCTTTGATTTTTGCGATATTCTGGCTCTCAATTTGACGAGGTTGCACAAATTGCATCTTGCCAGACGACAATCTATACTTGTTGATGTCGAATTTCCCCCATTTATTGCCACTGTTCACCTTCGCCGCTTCCTTAGACCACTCGAGTTGCCTTTGAGCTGTGCCTGGTTGAACCCTAGCTGCGTTCAACACCTTGCCAGAAGGACACCCCAAGCTTAATCGACTAGATTCCCCCATTTCTAAAACCTTGGCTTCCCCCAGATTCTGACTCACCTTTCGATTACTAACAGATTTGTCCTCCTTTTGCTTGGAAGTATTCTCAATTTCCGCCACCAATTGATTCAACTCGATCTCTAGACTTTTAGAAACCTTCTTCGACTTCATCTGAGTTCGCATTCCCTCCCTAGAATTGACCCCATCTACAGTTGCAGGATTAGTCGCATCTGTCAGATCTGGTGTTGATTGATGTTTCACCGCTTTTCCTTTCTTCTTTTGCCCGGCCATGGCTGGCACACAATAGCGACGTGCGCCGAGAGAGAAGAGAGAGAAAGAGCGTTGAGATTTGATGCACGGAATTTCTATTGAATTAGAATAGTAAAATAAATAACGAGTAGTCCTTATTTTTGTTGGAGGGACAGAAAGAGTATTATATAGTACCGCTAATCAGTATAGTTTGTTGATTAAAACCGCCATCATAAAACTTCTCGACAAAGTGTATAAGAAAAATTCGGCATTTCAGATAAAATGTGGCTTAAAGCTTGGACTTCACTTCCTTACTTAAATATTGCTTTAGCCTTAGCCGACCATTAATCTGTAAGAAAATTGTGCTTGTTTGGATGTCAGTTTCGTTTTCATTTTTGATTTAAATCTAGAAAGTGGTTTAAGTGGAAAACGTAATGGAAGATGAAAAAATTATTTGAATGAGATTTTAGGATAATGACTATTTATGAAATTAAAATAGTTCAGTGACCAAACTAAAAAATTTATAATAGTTTAGTGACTATCTGCGCATCACCTACCATCGCCGGCATTGCGCCATGGTCATTAAATTATTGTAAAGTCTTCAATTTGGTCACTGAACTATTTTAATTTCATAAATGGTCACTATACTAAATACTATGCTAAAATATAGTTTAAGTTAAATTTCAAAATGTAATTTGAAAAGTTGTTTGGACGGCTATTTGTTTTGTATTGGATTTTGTGTTTAAGAGGTAAATTGAGTTGAAAATATAGTTTGAGTGGTTGACCAAACAAACCTTTATCTCCAAATCATTGTTTGCCAGAATCCTGGTCTTTTCCTGATCTTTTATTTTGTTTATTTGTTCATTTTTGCTAAATCTAGGATTCCACAAAAAATGGATAAATTAACGTTTACTTACAATATTCTGCAAATCACAATGATAATTAGTGAATTTAAGTATAAATTTGTCATGTAGGGTTTTTTATGGACAAAGATAAACTAAATAAAATGAAGGATTGAGCCAATAACAATTTTATTATTGAATCAACATCTCTTAGTATTTAATGTTTTTTTTTCAAAATTAACGATTCCTTTGTTTATGATACATGGCTTAGTTTTTTTTTCTGCATATTTTATTACTGAATCAACATCTCTTAGTATTTAATTTTTTTTTTCAAAATTAACAAATTCCTTTGTTTATGATACATGGCTTAGTTTTTTTTTTTTTTTCTTCGCATATTTGCAAGGTGTCCACTATTGGTAATAGTGACTAATCCCCTATTTGAATTGTAGGTACCTCAATGGGTGGGATAGCTGGCCAAAGTATTTAAAATTGCTTCATGCCCATGACGAGGTTCGAATCCTCGAACTATAGTTAAGGGTGGAGGAGTCCCTCCACTCCATCATAACCACTTTGGTTATGGGTTATTTTTAATATGAGAAAAAGAAAAGTCACCATTGTTAATTAACCACTTACAAAAAGCGTCACCCTCTTCATCACATAACCTGTTAACCAAACCAAACAACACTATTATATACATAGCAATAAAACCTTTGGCAATATGCCAAAATCTATAAACAATACATACACAATTATTTAATTCACAGTGGAAGAAGTCCAACACCAAACAATATCTTTCTTTCTCCCATTTGGTTTTTTTGGGCACCAAAATAAATGAGGTCAAAGACATATTTTCGTAAAAGTACATTGACCAACAATTTCTCATACTGTTTACAGAAAGAGGTAGCAAGATTCCAGTTGCCTACCTCAACCTTTTCAATTGAGATTAACCATCACTGTCTTACTGTAGATTTTAGTGGAAAAAAAATCCCAAATAAATGGTATATTTACATAATGGTGTTTTTAAATTCCATGTACTTTGAAGTACATTGACCAACAATTTCTCATACTGTTTACAGTAAAGTATTTTACAATTTTGATACTCCTTACATTTCAAAACAATTATCCTATTTGTTGTATTAAAAAGATATTAATCATTTCGAGATAAAAAGAGTAATACATAATTTTAATTGTATTTTCAAAAGCCTCTTGACTGTAAGAAAAAGCAGGAGTTCCAAAGAAAACGGTTTAATGACTTTAGTTCATCATTAATTATATTTATATTTTATCGTTAGCAGATATAAAGATATATTGATTTTAATTTGGCGTTAATTAATTTAGTTGTATTTAAATAAATCAATCTTCTATCAGTCCCAAAGGAACTCTTTTGTATTTGATGAAAATTAAATCACAACTTTGGTTTGGAAATGTATGTTAGTTGTTTGCAGGTTTAGATCAAAGGTAGGAAAGCGCATATGTTGAACAGTTGAAGGGTAAGAGATAGAAGCGTTCTGCTCTAACCTATGTATAATGTATCAATCACAACTCATCAAATATTGCTAAGCTAATTTTATGAAGAAACTTTGTGGTGACCTTGATTGAATAGTATAAACGAAAATTCTAAATACTACAGTAAATGATTACTGAAAAAACGTTATCTTAAAATTTTGTTTTCGAGAAAGAATGATACATTATTTGAAGGGGTAATTTCTAAGTTCAGTTTAGCAGAGTTTTGTGGAATTACCATTTCCAAATTTGATTAACTAGGAGAATTAAGATCCAATCAGTAACGAAATTGAAGTTTAGCGCAGTTCTTTAACCTTGAAGAAAAGGTAAAAATTCTATAATCTTTGTTGTTCTATTGGTGGAAATTCATAGTTAAGAGGTAAAGATTATGCATATTTCTATTACTTTAGGGGAACATAAAATCAAGAATGCAGTGAAACAACACGATTTATAGTCTCCAATTATTATTACTACTTCTGTCCCAAAAAAATAGTTGCATTGAGTTTTCAAATTTATACTTAAAATAGTACAAAATTCAAAACTCAATGTAGACTATTTTTGTGAGACGAAGAGAATATATATATATATATATATATATTTTTAATAATAACACCACTTCACAAGCATCTACAAATCCAGAATAGGGGTTTTGAAACCCCAATACCGCATTCAACGAAGTTTCTCATTTCCTTGCGCGTTGTGTTCTTTTTTCTTTTCTCCTTCATCTTTTGATAATAAAAATGTTTGTCTGACAAATCTTACATGGAATATTCAATAAAATTGTGTCAATCAAAACAGTTTAACTCCTGCAATTTTTTAAAAAATGTACCCTACTATTTTTTTATAATTTTTTTGGGTATATTATGCACCTACGATATGCAATCATACTCTGACTAATCCGGATTCTAGCCGAATAGGTTCCTTTCAAGTACTCTACTATTCATTTCATGTAGTTTATTAGTCTTTTAAAGTGATTACATCCGCTGCCAAATAAATAACTAGTTATCACCGTCAAATTATTAATATTGTCACGATTAGACTTGCAAGAATTAAACTTTAACCGCGAGTTTTGATAGTATGATACAAATTGTTGAAAATTCAAGAGTCATGTTTTTATTAATCGCCGGAATACAGTTATAATGGGACAGTTATAAGTCAATTTAAAATTAAAATACTACAATAAAAATTATGCTCCATTTTTTTTCGTGGCCACAAAAATACTTGCAATGAAATAACTTTTAGAGAAACATATATCCATATTATTGTCATTAATTTTTGGATTTTGTATTCTCCTTTTTTCAAAAACCACTTCAGTCCCCTAGTCAATACTACCAAACTAACCTCATCCATTCTTCCTTAATCACGTAATATTCCAAGAACCTTCCAATGAAATGACTATTGTACCCCTCATCACCCCCCTTTCCTTATTATTTTTTCCCAATTTTCCTGCGGTTTGACTATATCATTAGCCACTCTTGAGATTTCCCAGTCCATCACTTCTCTCTCTCCCAGAGTCTCCCTCCAAACCCTTCTGGGGTTACTCTTCCCCAAATCCCCCCTTTAGGGTTTTCAGATTCATCCCAATTTTCCCCAAATTCAACCCTTTTAAAGATAAAAAATTTTCATTTTTTTTTTAATTCAATTTTTTGATTACCTAACCGTATAGCTGTAGTAATTGGAGTTAATTTGATTGTTTTACGATGAAGCTGATCGAAGAGGAAATCACTTCTTGCTTTGAGGATCGCAAGTTGTTTCCTCCGGGTTTCCGATTCCATCCCACCGATGAAGAGCTGATTCTGTACTATCTGAAGAGGAAGATCTGCCGGCGGCGGCGCAGGATGGACGTCATCACCGAGACCGACGTCTACAAGTGGGACCCTGAAGAGCTTCCTGGTATGTGGTTTACGCTCTGATTCTGTTTTTCTGATGAATTATTTTTTAAGTTGGGTCCGTTTATAATTCATGGGCTGTTGACGTTGACTTAATCGTATTAGCATCCTTGATTGCCTGCTTGAGTCTGTGGTATAAATTTCTTCATTTGGAATCCTGTCTTTTTTCTGTATATGCGAATCCGACGGATTCTTGTGCTTTTTATGTTTATGTGATCTGATGGATGATTGTGTATTTGTGTTTATGTGATCCTGATTGGTTTATAAGGGGTACAGTGTTGTCTTTGTTATCTCACTTTTGCCTGTATGCTTTCTATTTGCAATTCTTTTTCCTTTTTCCCCTCCACGAGGGGTCCTTTGTAGTTTGCAGGTGTTTGTGTTTGGAGTAATGGTTTGGGTTGTCTGTTAATAGCTGATTTGGCCCCTTTAGATTATTAATGTGTTGTTTCTCTTTGAATTGGTATTTTGCAAGTCCAAGTGAGGTTTGTTGGGATGATGGTGTTCTTTGATTGTAAATCCTGTGGTTCAACATCTGTTGGATGAATTGTTCATGATTTATCTCAGTATTTGGTCGGGTATGAATGGAGTGATTTTTTCAGGCTACAATTTATAATAGTTTATAATAGATGAAACAGGAATAGGGAAACCAATGATTATTTTGTTGTCTATGAACAGATACCCGTATGTCAAATCAATGGCTTTTCTCCCAGCCTCCTGTTTTTTTAATTAATTGCTTAAATGATAAAGGTTTGGTTTTCTGTATCTCACTTGTGGTTTGCCTTTGGATTCTTTTGGAAAATTATTGTCAAAAGTTGCTGGCTACTGCACTTTCTGTTCTTCCTTCGGACAGATATTCTATGCTTGGTTTTCTCCACAGTTGTTGAGTTTGCAGATTATGTCAGTGGCTTACTATTTTGAACATTATACTGACCTGCCTTATTTTAATCGGTATTGCAGGATTGTCTAAATTGAAAACTGGCGATAGGCAGTGGTTCTTCTACTCTCCCAGAGATAGGAAATACCCTAATGGAGGAAGGTCAAATAGGGCAACAAGGCATGGGTATTGGAAAGCTACTGGAAAAGATCGTATTATTACATATAATTCTCGTGATGTTGGAGTGAAGAAAACTCTGGTTTATTACAAAGGTCGTGCACCTAGTGGTGAACGCACAGACTGGGTTATGCACGAATATACTTTGGATGAAGATGAGTTAAGAAGGTGTGAGTCTGCAAAGGATTATTACGCACTTTACAAAGTGTATAAAAAGAGTGGACCTGGTCCAAAAAATGGTGAGCAGTATGGTGCTCCTTTCAGGGAGGAGGACTGGACTGATGAAGAAGTTGAAAACAATGAACTTGTTAGCCAGGAGATTTCTGTGAAACCTGTCGATGAAGTTCCTGCTGTCGATGAGGGCCGAGTGGATCGTCAGGCGCAGTTCTCAAGTGATCTTGAGGAGTTTGTGAATAGGATTGTTGATGTGCCCCCTTTGTCAGTTGCTGACTATGGTTTTGCTCTGGAGGAGCTTGCTAATGATGAGGAAGCTCAGAGTAATCTAGTTGATCTGTCCTCCCGGGATATTAGTTTACATGATCAAAGGATTATTCTTCCTCAAGCCCGTACACAGTACCATGCACAAGGCAGCTTTGACTTTACCCAGTCAGGTACATCTCAGTTGCAATTGCATGAGGCATCTGAGGTGACATCTGCCTCAAGGAGTCAGGTGCCGTACTCCGATGCCGTGGAAGATGATTTCTTTGAAGTACAAGACTTTTTGGAGATGGATGATCTTGTTGGTCCACAACCATCTGTTCCAAATTCTGGAAAATCAATAGAAACCCTGGACGACCTGGAATTCAATGAGTTTGATGGGTTGGGTGAGCATGATTTGTACAAGGATATGCCTCCTCTGGGTTTCACTGGATTGGAAGTTGGCCAGCAGGGGAAGAGTTTTCCACCTTACTTGAACAACCTGCAGAATGAAGTTGCAAACCCTGTTTCAAATTTTTATTTCAACAACAATACTGAGCCAGAGCCTGAGCCTATAAGCTATGAGCAGACATATTTAAGCAATGCACAGAATGCGACTTCCCAGCAGTGGTTACATGATCAAAGGAGCTTTGTCTATACAGCTTCAGAATCGCATACGGGAACCATTCCTCCATCCACTTCAGGTATTGCAACCGGATTCTTTGTTGGAATGCTTGGTTCTCTACAGTCTCTGTAGCCCAACTTTTGTAGTTTTCATTATGTAAAAACAATTCCATTTCTTATGATTACTAATCTCATAGAGCTCTTGGTCAGATGGATGGTATGGGAAGACCATGTCATCTTCAACATGGTGAAAACTCTATTGCCCAAGTGGAAATGGGAGAGTTTGAGCCACTGCTTCAAGAGCTCTTGTCTTTATGACTACTGTGGTGTAAAAGAATTTAATTGCTAATATTGACGAGTTTTGGTATGTCTAGGTATGGTTTATGATGGTAACTTTTTGAATCATGGTTCTGGAGCTGATAACAATCAGAGTGGGCAACTGAACGATGGTACAGACTCTTGGATCTCTTCAGCTTTATGGTCTTTTGTGGAGTCTATACCGACCACTCCTGCTTCAGCTTCAGAAAGTGCGTTAGTGAATCGAGCATTTGAACGAATGTCTAGCTTTGGTAGAGTAAGAATAAATAGCAGGAACACGAATGTTGCCACAGGTGATACCTTAGCAACTTCAAGAAGTTCCCGCAAATGTAAGGGTGGATTTTTCTGTTTTTCGTTATTAGGTGTGATGTGTGCAATCTTATGGATGATGGTAGGAACCTCTATAGGAGTGTTGGGAAGGTACCTATCCTGGTAGATAACTGTGTAGATGGAGATTTTGTTTGCTTTGACCAGTGTTCCGCTGGAAGAATCAATAGAAGTAAAAGCTAGTTAACTGTAATAACGCATGTATGTACAACCTGAAATCTTGATTTTCAAAATTCAAAAAAAGAAGTGAAAAAAAAGAAAAGAAAAAGAAAAGGAAATTCAAAATTCCCAATATTTGTGTCATTAATGGGGTATATTTTGTTCTCGTTTTTTTTTTTTCGCTCATGTTTAAGAATCTCATGGTTGGTACTACAAGTGATAAGATACTTAAGGCGATACTACTTCTGTTTAACAGTTCGACTGCCTGCTTATTTGGTTGGGAAACTTGGCTTAATGTTGCTCCTGGTTGAGGACTAGTAGTAGTTGCTTTTGGCGACTGGTTCTCGTCTCCCTAACCTTTCTGGGAAGATTACGCAGCTAAATTTTTTAAGCTGCTCCAGCTTCTTGCAACTGCTATATTTTGCCTTACTACCGGGAGATGTCAATTTAACCATGTTTAATGCAATATAGCATTGAGTTACAATGGAAACCATTTCTATTGTAAATGTAGCAGATGATTGTAAATGATGCTGTTGATGTAGGGAACGATGTTTTTGTATGTAGTTTCTTCTTTATGTGAGGGTGATATCTCCCTCAGCTCAATTCTGGTACTACGAGTTCAATCGTCAAATGGTCAATTTTTATTTTTTTTTTCCCATTCCTTGCAGTTAGACAGGTGGCGCATGTGGATGCCGATTATGAATTTTCACTCCCAACTGTAACAAGTTTGAGGTAATGTTACTACTCATGCTTCAACCAGATGTCGTAGAATATGGTTAAATTTTAAGTCCAGGGTTCTATTTCGCTCATTGGAGAAGTTACTATCAGGATGGCAGCAATAAATTTGTAATGCTCAAAGGTGGCTGGGAATAATCACACTTAGCGACGGTGAATATTACGAAAATTTGAAAAAAAGAGTGAAGACAAGTTCATCACAGATGGAGCAAATTTTACATTTGCTTCAGTAACAACTCACTTCTGGAGTTTTGCCATCATCATCGTGTACTAAAATATGTACAATCCTTCGTATATTTTGACCACCGATCAGTCGGATTAAATATGTATAATATCCTTGTTTATTTTGGAAGCTTTAAAGGTTCTTTGTTTATTATTTTTTCAATGAGAAAAAAAAAAAAACCTATCGTGGCAAGTAAATTGATTTTTCAAAATTATGATCTGAAATAGTCCAACAAAATTTTTCGCCAAGATTTTCAAGTTTACTACAAGCACATCCTTCCAATTTCCTTTGTGTCTGAAATTTTTACAAATCTGGGCAAAACATTCGGTTAAGAATTATAGGTTCATCTAGAAAAATAATGTTAATTAATAAAAAAGGTCAGTTATATGATTGTATCCGACTATTTGGGTTCTTTTCACCGGCACTTCTGTCCCGGAAAACACACTAATGGGGCCGGCGATTGGGAAATATTGAAAGGAAGGTGTTTCTTCAAAAGATTTTAGATGAATGGGCAAATTTAAAAGGCAAACAAAAAATTTATCATGGCGGAACAGTAATGATAGTTCTCATCAACACTTATTTGGACTAAGTGATAAGTTATTTTAGTTCCTTTCACTCACTTGGACAAAGTGATAAGCTGCTTTGGTTCCTTCAAACGAGGTCTTAGTTTCGAGACTCGTGAATGGAAAAAGCAATGTTGGAAGAATTTTCTCTCCGAAAGAAGACCGACCCGACTCGATGTGGATTAATCTGAATGCAATATATTTATTACACCCCGTGTGCAGTAGAAAAAAGAAAAAGAAGTAAAAGAAAGCAATGGTAGTTCTCCTTTATTAAGGAGCCAAACTCTTTATTGGCCATGAAGGGGAGATACTACCCATACTGCTCTCTTATGGAAGCTAGGGTGAAAAAATGGGGACTCGTGGTTGTGGAAGGGATGGATGGGAACTAGACAGGTGATCCAAAAAAGGAGGAAAGTGGCTAGTAGGAAATGGGTGCTCAATTAATATTTGGGCTGATAGGTGGATCCCGGTGCTCAATTAATATTTGGGATCCCGGAAACTTGTTTACGAGGCCCATAAGCAAATGAAGTCAACAAACAGAGGTTTAGTAAAGTGGTCCGGCTGATAAACCCTGTTTCAAAGAGGTGGGATACTCAGAAGCTGGAGCAAATGTTTGAACCTGAGGAAATACAAATGATCCAATACATACCTCTAGCCTTAGCATCTATGGAGGGGTGGATCATTTAGTATGGCATAAAGATAGAAAATGTATGTTCTCAGTAAGCTCAGCCTATGAAGTTGCAAGTAATTTGAGAGAGGAGTTAAGGGGAAATACAGGCTCAAGTAGAGGAGCTGAGAGGGATAGCAGAACTTGGAAGCGTACATGGGCTCTTAAAATCAAAGCTAAACTAAAGCACTTTGTGTGGAGGGTATACAAAGGTTGGATAGCTGTGAATTCTGCCCTGAATAAGAGGGGAATTAAAGTGGATGAGCAGAGTAAAAGGTGTGGAGAGGGACTTGAAAAGATTGAACATGTTTCCTTTCATTGTAGGAAGTCAATTCTGATCTGGAAAATGTCATCAGTGCAATGGGATGGGATCCAACACCTGACAGAGTCATTTCCAGACTGGTGGGACAAACTTCGCGAAGCTCGAGCGAGTGAAGATTTTACTGCTAGATTGGAGATCTCTGTGTATACTCTTTGGCAAATCTGGAAATCGAGGAACTCTTGGCTGTTTGAAGAAAAGGAGACTGAACCGCTGTTGATAGCTCAGAGGGCATTAAATGAATGGAATGAATTCAAGCCGGTTCATCCCCAGACCAATGTGCCAACACAGTCAATCTCATCAGAGGAAGGAACACAAGGATGGAGGTGCCCAGAATCTGGAATGGTGAGAATTAATGTATCCTCTTTTAGAGGTGCTTCAAATGGAGGAACAGGAATTGGTCTGGTGATGCGCCATGAGAATGGTGGGCTGGTGCTAGCCAAACCCTCCTTACTGGAAGCTACTCAAAGTTCCCTTTCAGCTGAACTGGAAAGCATTCGGATGGGGCTGCAAGAGGCTCAAGGGAGAGGACTGAAAAAGGTGGAAATGCAGATTGATGAAATGAATATCGTTATGTGGCTGCAGAGGCAAATCAGACCTATTGCGGAGGTCATGGCGATAGTCGATGACATCTAGCTTCAATCTGGTTAAATTAGCTATCTCTAACAATTGTTCTCAGTGTTGGAAATCATCATCCCCAGTGTGGTTAGAAGCAGCATTTATGGCCGATTACAGTTAGCCCAACTTAGGTCGTTTGTATCTACTTTACTCAATCTCTTGATTTTCTTTAATACAAAAATGACGATCGCTTTTGGCCAAAAAAAAAAAAAGTTCTCCTTTATTTTTGAAAAAACTGTTAATTTAAGCGCGCCTATAAAATACACAAGTAACCTCTTTGAAATTAAGCTATTCCGGTTCCTGTTCTTCCAAGTTCCAACCACCGATCTCAGTATCACAGTATGTATATTAAAAAAAAACCCGGATCTGGACTTTGACCCGCATTGTTGATTCTTGCTGCTGAATCTTGAAACATCACTATTCGTCTCTTATTTAACGAATTCTGCTTTGTTCTTCATCAAGACAAGAATTCTGCTTTGTTCTTCATCATGTTTGCATAATTGCTCTTCCTTCCCCCAAGTCGTTAAACCACGATTTATAACATAAATTTTGGTTTGATTAACAGCCTTTGGCCTACCGGCAGCCATGTTTGGGCAAAACACAAATTCATTCTCCTGAATGAATTAGCGGATCTTCTGCTCCTACTGCATCACTTTGTGGCACGTAATCAGCAGGGATCACGATGCCAGTAGGGAATTCAACAGGTTCGCGCCTTTGTCTGCAGATATTCTTGTGACCAGTTTCGCATAAGACCACGAAGCAACACAATTACACAAACATTGGCAAGCCCTTCACTTTAGGTTTCTGTTGTTATGTGGCAGAATTTTCGTTTACTCTGCCAATTTCCTATCCTTATCTCTGCATATGAATACAAATTACCAAGGAGATAAAATTTATTCAAATTGAATAAAAAATGTTGAACTTTATTCTTCACACACCAGATACCACCAGAAAAGGGATGTGATCGCATAAAGTAGTGAATGATCTGAATTTTTTTATATACACAAGATGTAGTGCAGAGATTAGTCATTCAGAAAAATACAGTAGCAGCGTGTATCGGACTATACAATATATATAAACTATCTTTGGTTCTTTCGCTCATAAAGACCAAAAGTAATGGCACCATATCAGTTGCTACATCCCAGAAATTGTGCCTGCATTCTTAACACACAGCACCGGTATTGACAAAATTGAACGCTGTGAATGACAATGGTGAATTAGTTTGCAAGAAATAATGTGTTGGTCGGTCTTGTTATCTTTCCAAGGACAAATCAAGTAGTCACCAACCAAAATTGAGTTGCTTTTACAAGAAAACCCTCCTTATTGTTCTTGCAGTAATACGAGACAGTAACTTGGCGGCTAGGTTTGTTGGCAATTGAAATAACTGTTGCTGCAAATCTTGAGGGAGCTGCGAAAAGAGTAAAGTATGTGAATGGGAACTATATTTCCTTTAGAATTAGACTACTGTATTTGGTGAAAACTAATGACATGGAGGAGATAACATAGTGCAAGGTATTGCAGTAATCATAATTACACTAACACTAATCATAGTTATACTAACACCTACGAAAAAGAAAAATCTCAGAAAGACTTTGAAACCAGAGATCATATGCAATTGCTACTCTTCACTATACAGCAATACTGGCACTCCAAAGAATCAATTCCAAAGATAAGAGAATCAATGTATAGGCACGCACAGCCATTTTAGAACCTAACCTTGTAACTTTCACGGCTGGTTATATATATGCGAAGATAATGTCTCGAGTTAGCTTTTTTATTTCTTACCTCAGGGATGGCAGTAAGCAGTGGTTGTATTTCCTCAATTGATACTGACTGATAACGAACCAGAGAATATTCATCTGGAGGCGTCCTCTGCCTACCATATGCACCAGCTTCTTTCACCCCCTGCACGAAATTGTCAATGCAACATCTGTGTGATTGCAAAGGCAAAGCTGTTCCACAAGAATTATTAATCTATTTTATGAGAAAGGTTCTGATATTCAAGGATACAGGAAATTATAGTACAGGATTAGCGCGAGACAAACTTGCTTCGAGATGCAAATCTTACTGGCTCATGCATGTGTAAAGAACATCCAAAGAACTTACAGTTGAACATTTACTATGATGGCTCCCTACAGACTATCCTAGGTGTGGTCAGGATAGCACATCTTCATCAAGACTCTTGTCTAAAGGCCACCAGGACTTTCCGAGATGATGGCAATTTTACTTTTAAACAAAAGTTATCACTTAATGTAACGAGAGTTTACCAGCCCTTTCCTGCCACTCTCTCGAAAGCCGGATAGCAACAGCATGAGGCGCCTAAAAGTTTTCAGATTCACAATGTCTTCATCGTTCAGTAATGAAGATGATCGGGAGCCTGAGAATGGTATGTTTGCAATCATTGAAGAGGCCACCGAATCAAGAGTAGCTATTCCAAGTGCATCCAAACCCTATAACAATTAACGGCGATACCAATGAGCACGGATGGAAAGCTTGAATTAATGCTAGTGACGCAAAATCCTGTTCATCACAGGATTTGCATATCAGTATTATAATTTGTAGGGAAGGGTGAGATTTGCAAATGCTCCTTTTTTTTTTTTTTTTTCCAATCTATAAAGATATAAGAATCAGAAAGACAAGATGGTTGTACCTTAGCGAGCTCGTCAAGTAGTATTTCTCTTACAAAAGCACCCTGTATAGTTCAATCAAATTTATCATCAGCTTTGCTAGTTTACTCTGAATATCCTGTCTAACTGATCTTAATTACAAATTTCTGTATGCTATGCGTCATGGATGGTTACCTTCTCATTCAGAGTGAAGGACAGGACTTCTTTAACAATTATCTTGGAATCTCCATCTTCAATTTGCTTTTTAATGGATCTCTCTGTTCTAGCACGCAGCGACTGAGGCACAGTGAAGATGGAGAGAAAAATTAGCAGTTGTATGAAGTATAGAACCAGGATAACAAACAAACCTAAGGAAGAAGAAAATTTCCATGGAAAAGGAAAATGATAATCCTAGACACAGTAATCGCTTCAAAATGATGGTTGATATGGGAACCATTTCTAACCTGATATAAGTGAACGGTAGGAAAGGAGGACAAGACAGCTATAATGTTTTTGGTTTAATATAACATGCATTTTATTCACTATAACATGTAACTCAACAATGACCAAACCATTAATTAGCTGAAGGTAAATTTCCGAAAGAAAACATAAGATCTCAGCAAAACCAAGAACGACAAACTACTTCTGGAGCTGCCTTACCTCTGTTACCAGAGACTCCAAACGGTCTATCCTGAATACTCCATCCTGTTTGGAGAATCATTTAATCAGACAACAATAACGAATAAATTGCCTCAATTAGCTGGAGAAATTTACAAACTAAAAACTAGAAGCAAATGGAAAAGTTGCATCCCCAGTGCTACCTTATAAAGCAAAGCTTGAAGAGAAGATTGTAGCTTTGATGAGCTGTCAGTCAACACTTTTCTGGCAATCCAAGGGTAGGTACTACCCAAAACTTTGTAATTCGGATCAAGACTAACAGCGATTCCTTCCAGAACAGCCAGGCTGAATGGGCATAAAACATCTAATGAGCTTTGTATGATGGATGAACTCAGAATATCTAGGAAGGAAATAGATATACTACTAAACTATAACACAGATACTCTTTTACTCATAGTTTATGTATTACTTAGGATTTCTAATGACATACTCATCAAATTGATAAGAATGAGAAAAAGAAAATGAGCACCTTCGAATGACTAGAGAGAAGTACGAAGGTATCTGAAACTTGAACTTGTACCTGCCGAAGAAACAGGAGCCAGCATCATAAAACAGTTTCAGGAAGTATGATGATGGATCAAAAGCTTTCATTTCAGATGATGCACCTTGTCCGGGGAATGTGGAAGACAGTATATCCAATGGCTATTTGGTTCTAACTTAACCATACTTATAAAAATTTCATTACTATAATATATTGCAAAATTGCAAAGTAACAGAGTCCTCCCTTTCCTCGACTTGAGGAATTCACGTCTCTTCTTTTTTTTTTTTTGAAAAGGACGTCTCTTCCTGACATAAACCAAATACCACATATGTTTTTTCCAATTAACTAGTTTTATTAAAGGAAATCCTAACATTCTTTAGGTGATCAATGGCCGATGGAGCAGAGGGGTACTTGTAGATCAAAGCTACAGTAGTTTAAGCAATAAATTTCACGACGTCAGCTCCTGTATGTCCTCTTTTTTTTGAGCTATTCCACCGGCTATTGATTTACTCCAATGAAATTGAATCTAATGGAAATAAAAATGAGTTTCTAGAAACATACATTGTAACCCCCAAATTTCCTAGAAGATCTCCGAAACTGATATTGCGAATTCCTCTGGCTAGAGCATCTCTGAAAACACCTACAGAACGATTGTAAAAAATATATCTGGTAAATAGAAGTCACCTTACATACTTGCTGATGAATATGATAATAAACAACTAAATCCTTAATAGACAGGCTAAAGGTCAACCTGTCAGCGCCTTTGTAACAGCATCTCTGTCTGCTGTAGGTGGAAGCAGTCTGTAAATAAACAATATTCAGAAAACGAAATTTATGGTGTTGCGAACTCAGAAAAGGAAGGAAAACAATAAACTGTACCCAAGAGTAACAAAGTCCTTAGCCAGTGCGTCATAATCACGATTTACAAGGTGAAGACAAGCTTCAATAAAACCATCACGGAGTTCCTGCTTGAACTCACCCACCATGCCAAAATCTATGGAAGGATAAAGTTGAGCAAATTTTAATGGAGTAAATAAAAGTTTGCAATGAAACAAGTGCATCAGCTAAGAAACAGCAAAGGCTTTGGGAACTTTCAGCATTTTGTGGCGAGTTTCAGAAGCACGTCAGTTTTAATCGTATCATTAGTTTGGTTTGCTCACTGTGCTGAAGTGTATTAATCACCAAAATCTTTTTTTAATTCTTTTTTGTTCGCAACTATTCTACATCAACGAAATCAACCAAACTCTTACTTTTATTAATTTCAAATAATCAACGAGGAACTCCATCATATGAGTTTTCTTTTTATCAAAGAATTAAGTAGTGTTAATAGCTTTCCCATATGATTTCATGAATAGAAATCTACAACAAACAAAAATAAAGGTCTGCGAATCTCAAAGACAAACATAATAAAGTAGCCCAAGACCCTTGGTCATTTCATATCATTCAAAAATCTTGGATGAATACCTATGTAAGCCAGTTTCCCATCGTTTGTGCGGAGTAAATTACCAGGATGGGGATCTGCATGGTAGAATCCACATTCTAGAAGTTGATTGAAGGAGCAATAAACTCCTACCTGTATGCAAGAAAGGAGATCAGAACTTCCAAAAGACTAGAAACATTCTTGAAGTTAAAGAAGAGCATGATAATAATATTTTATAGTTCACCTCAACCAAGTACAGATCCTTAACTTCAGCCAATTTTTGCCCCTGCAACATCGTCAAATTCACACAGTAAAATCCTGAACAACCATTCATTTTTCTTTTTGGATTCTTACTCATTCAAATTATGAGGTCCAATTTCTAATCCAAATTATAAGAAAATTATTTGGAAGAAAGCATCCTTTTAAAGCAGCAACAATGTATGTACAAGTAAGAACAGGAAATAGTTAACAGCAAAATCATCTTATATTTTGAGTGGGGATGTTCAAATTTAACCCCGAAAGAATCTTAGATACTTAGGGTGAAAAGAGTTTCCAAAAAAAATTTACCAGAGCCCCAGTTTTCAAAACATAAAACGACATCAGTGTTCAGAAAGTCAAAGTAACATTCTATTAGGAGCAGAAGACTCAAAGCTCTATTTGGTTGCTAATAAAAGATGGAATTCCTTCCTGCAAATGAAGTAAAAAGTACACAACAATAGCTTTAAGAACGAGAATATGTAGGTAGTTTGTTACTGTGTTAAAGAAGTTCAATATGAAGGCTAAAGTAAGTTTCCTGGATAACAAAGGCAATGCTCCAACATATATTTATTTCTTTAGTTACCAGACTCCATTTGAGGACTGTTTTGAAATTGCTAACGTAAAAATAAAACCTAAAGCAGATAAATCAACCACGAATCATAATCTAATTCTTGAGCTCAAAGAAAAGTCATTTCAGATGGGCCAAACTGGCACATATATCATCAGTCATTACAGGATCCTATGACTTAGCACATGTTTAGATAACATGCACTCAATTTAATCCATAGAACAGCAAGGAATGATCAGAATAGTACCTCTAGCCACTGCATGACTAGGACCTTGCGAGTTGTTTCATTCATAAACATTTGGGGAACCACCACATCTTTAATTCCACCATATAATTCTCTGATAAGCACAAAGGCAACACATTATTTTTTAGACACAAGTTAGCAAGATATTTTGATAAGAGAGGTTTGCAACAAAACTGGAAACGCTTACGCTAAGATTTATTCTCCAAGATAATCATGAATTTAAATGTGGAAAATAGTTTCTACAAGCAACCATTGGGTCACTCCCATACAGGAGATGGCCTTAATATAAACAATCCATACAATCTTGCACTTAAGATCACATTGACATTAAAACCAGCTAATAGTGATCCAGACAAGTCAACAGATGAGACTCGGGGAGTTTTCTGAAAGGATCATTCCCACATGGGAGCTGTAGGGGATGGATTGTAAGCTCTAGTACTCAACTGGAGACAAACCACCTATGCTGAACAAGGAACTTTCCAGATTGATGCACAAAACAAAATTGTGAAGGCAAAGTTAGAAGTCAAAAAGGTCATCTAATGGATGAAGAAAAACTTTACATACATCAACTAAAACAATCCATAGTGACATGTGTTGAAAAAAATAAAGTTCCTTTTTGGTTTCTGTTTTTCTCTTGCCTTTTCTTTTCAAACTAATTGTGTACCTGAATTTAATTCCATTTCTTGCTTCTCTCCTGTAGTCCATCTCCTGCATTCAATTTGATCACCTGTATTCAATACAAATCCCTAAGAGATGAAGAAGTACTTGCAAAATAAGAATGAAAAAACTGGAAATAACAAACAAGGATGTATAGTGCTTATGTCAGGTCAGATCAGATAAAGGAAAATACAGATCAATACATACCCGAAAAAGACTAGCTGCCCACTCATCAACAACAGCCTGCAAATGAAAGATTAGATGGTAAAAGCTCTCCAGAAAGTTTCATTCCAGATAAATGCAACTTCATAACTAGTGTACGCTAGGAAAAATATCCCAAAGCAAAAGCTGTGGTGGTATTTTCAGGATCCATTTGTAAGACATTAGTGGCAGTATGAATGAACAAGATTGATGCCATAATGTTTCTAAGAAATGGCTAGTTAGTTTTACCACCCTTGGAAATGCAATAAGGATCAGCATGCACAGTATTTCAACATGTGTTTTTGAAAAGGATAATGATTGATACAAGGAAAAAATGACAAGGAAAAATTACAAGGAAATGATCTCACCCGTCCATTGCTAAAACTTTCCAAACAGGGTTTATGCATTTAAAGTTAGGGCATAGTTAAGATCTTGACACATCATTCCTTGTCATTTTTTCCTTGTACCTATCACTACTCTTTTGAAAAGCAGATTACTGTAACAATTACCTGGAGGTCAGTGTTGAACTTGCCAGCCTTCCTAACTATTCCTGCGAGATAGCGCAAAATTAATATGTCCAAGGATATTGCTGCTTGAACTCCAGGGCGCTGAACTTTAACTGCTACAAGTTGTCCAGTGGAGCGAAGTCTAGCTTGGTAAACCTAGTGAATCGCAAAGACAGAGGCAAAGCTTCGAAATAAGTAAATCCAGGCTTTTCTCCTCATCATGCGATACCTTCTAAACATATTCGAATAAGAATCAATCAATAGAAACAGATTGACGTAATTCAGGATGAACCTGTCCAAGGGATGCGGCTGCAATAGGCTCAGGTGAAATTTCTGAGAAAACAGCATCTATTGGTTGATTGAGCTCTTTCTCTATCATATCAAAAGCAACTTCAGAGGAGAAAGGTGCAATTCGATCTTGCAACAATGAGAGCTCATCCAAATACGAAGGTGGGATCACATCCTGGAAATGCCTAATCTCAGTAACTTTTACTGGCATTCAACTAAATAGTGAAGTTGTTCAAAAAAAAAAAAAAAAAAACTAAATATTGAAGTATCCAAAAGCCAAACCATGACTTACAGGTCTAGATGAAATTGCCTGAGCTATTTTAATGTAGGCCTACAGGAAGAAAATATAAGAAACCACGAATCATTCATCCATCAAACAATAATTGGAAAGTAATCCCTATAAATGAAAGAATAAATCCCATGGAACCTACCGGCCCAAGCTCAACCAAAACTTTTCTCAGCTCCTCAGCTCTGACCTGTATATTAATTAGCGGCAACAATTAAAGAAAGGAGAAATTTAAGATTAACAAAACAATCATCCACACAAGTTAAAAGAGGCCTGACCTCGAACATTTCATCGGCGCGATCGGAGGCAGCATCGATGTACCGGACGGCGAACCATTTGCCGAGAGTCGTGGCGATTTGGAAGAGGCGACGAAGGAGTATGAGCGGTTTCTTCTGATAAATGGAGGCGATTTTGGAGACGCTGTATTCCGTCAGAGAATCCGCTTCAGATGAGCTCAGTTCGAACAAGTACCCTGAGTATTTTGAAAACGTATCGACGTTGTTCTCCTCGTTACGCAGACCGGAAGCGGAAAAGGAAGCAGGAGAAGAAGAGGCACGAGGCGGTACAGGTAGTAGTAGGAGTCGCCGGGAACTCGAATTGAGTGCATTATTCCGGGAATGGTGGCCGACGACGGGGTAGGCTGACGGCGGTGGCGGGAGAAGTAGTTGCAGAATCATTATTCTCGGCAACGGATTTTTTTTTTTTGGCTGAATGGTTAGTTTGTGGTCTATTATGTGGATTTTGAATTTGTTATTTCATTTTTTTGTTTTTTTGGGAAGATTTTATCCGTTCCGAGTGTTATTTGCTATCTTGAGCGTTGATTTTAATTTGTGGTGCCACGTGGCGGAAGGAGGGAGGGGCATTTGGGAATTTGGGAAGATGCGTCTGGAACAGAGATCCGTGTTTTAACACTCCTGCGCTTTTGGATTTATTCGTAATCTGGCAAATTGGGCGATTTTTGCATGTCCAGAATTTGAGAGGAAGAGTTTACTTACTTCTAGTCTTCCACATATCACGTTTGAATTTGAACTAATGTTTGTTGTTGTTCTCAACTTCTCATCATTTTCGTGAACCGTCCTTAAATAATCTAGCAAGATTGCAAAGTTTGTATTACCTCTATTCTTAGTATAAATTTCAAAATTCATTATAAACTGATACTTCCTCTGTCATAAAATTAGAGTCCAGTTTGAATTTTCATTTTCAGTATGATTTAGGATACAAATGAAAATTCAAACTGGACAATAATTTTGGGACGGAAGGAATATTGTTATTGTTTTTTTGAAACAAAGCGATTAGGTAGATTTCCCTCAAGAGTATGAATTCGACGAGTACCCTCCAAAAATGAAGCACTACACAAGTCTTCAAAGGATTGGTACATATTCTCTTATCTCGGGACTCCACCTGTATAATTTAGATCCTTATAACAATGAAAAGGTTGTCTTTAAGTTGTCTATAAATTCAGCTTTCTTCGATGATTTTACTTCCATTTTTCTAAGGCCAGAGAATCTAAGGCGGAAAGACGCGAGAAAAGGAAGCTTGCGCATCTGCCCTAAATTTTGATTTATTACAACTAAAAGGAATCCATTAGGAGAAGAAACCGAAACTGTATAGACAATAAACATAATTTTTGATATCAAACGATTAGGATGAAATTTCATTAGTGCTCTTTCAGAACAAAGGAGATCATTGACTTCTTTCCTATCAAGTCAGATAACGATCCAGCGCAACCAGTATTACTACATTCAACTTCTGTTTTTTTTTTGTTTTTAATCATTGCAGTATTAGTGTATTACCACACCTGGGAAAATAAGAAGAAGGAGATCTCTTCAAGTAGCTGGCAACTTGGCGCCCTGAGTTGCTCAACACAAGAGAAGTGCTCTGCATTTGCATTCCCATTCTTCAATGTTTTAGGGATTCCATTCAGGTTCTTCAGGTTTCGGAATTCTCAATCTTCCATTTCCCCATTTGGACCCCCTCAAACTCCTTGTTTACTAAATTTAACACCTCCAGATTTGGCAGCAGCCTCCCAACGGCTGAAAGTGCATCCAATGGAAGGCAACTACTCGACGAGGATAATTTTTTTAGGCTTGAAGGAAAACTAATCAACATGGAAGCTGCACCTTACCAGAGAAGAACATCTTCAGTGATTCTAGCTAGTTCACTCAAACAATCCAACTCTGGAAAAGAATGCATCCTGTAGCATCAGGCCATGAATGCCAAATCTGCATGATAGATTCTGGATGCTGGGTAGCCTTCTCAAGATGTGATTTTCAACATGTTCATCTCCATGCCGGAGCCAAAGAGTGCATATAGATTTCACATTGTCGACCTGGAGAAGTTGCCTAAGAATTTTCCCTGCAATGTTGGAAAAAAAAAAGAAGCCATGATCCATCAGGACATCTTTCCCATTCCAAAGGGACTCTGGCAGAGTGATATAACCAATTGCTCCCAAGAGTAAAAGTTTACTAGTGTTGGAGGTCGTACCTTAGATGTGTAAACTTCGAAACCATGATAAGATTGGAAGTGTATGTGCCTCTCTCGACTCCATTGTTTTCGGAATCCAGCACCCTAAGCAGATTATACTAGAAAAATAAAACCAGAATTCAATCTTGCAGGGCTTGCTTCTAGATTTCTGACACTCTTGAAGTTGAATTATGAGAGCTACTTCTACCAGTAGGTGTCTGTCCACGAACATCTTAGCTTTGGAGTGTAGCCCATGAGCGAGTGTGCTATTCTACCTTTAGGAGGCTTGTTGTTAATCAGAAATATCCTTTTATATGGATTCCCCTATAACTCCAAAAGGCTTATCATTACAACCTTGTGGAAGGTACAGTATTCACCAGCAGCAAAAGATGAAATCATTCGGCTAAGATGAAAGGGAAATACTTGAAACGAAGAAGAAAATGTTCACGTACATGAATGTTTAACTATGCACCAGCATTGTACCTGACACATTACGCCAAACTAACAAGAGTGACATCAAGCTAAGAATGGCTGCAATTGCGTTGCAAATCCTGAATTTTAATTGACCTGCATCAAATCATCTTAATCTGACAGCAGAGATTGAATTCTTACAAAGGAAGACCCAAGTTGCAGGCATCAGCAGTATGAGTTTCTCAAGAAAGATGCGTTTATATATGCATTTCATGCTTCAATATCCAAGGAATTTAGTTTCAGGAACTTCCTGTTTTGGTATTTACCATGGATCATGCAAACAAAAATCAACCTGTTAACAAAGCCAATGTTAACAATTGATGCTGACTATCTTCAGAAAAAGGCCCATCTAAGATCAGCACATTTGTTAAAAAGAAGAAGAAGAAGAAAAAAAGGAAATATAAGAATCCGCATTATGTACTTGAAAGTTCAGCAACCATAACTACTTTCTTCGCTTAATTAAGAAACTTTTCCAGATTTCTTTGAATGGCTGTGCAACTCCGCAAGTAAAACAACAGCAGGAGAAAACTGAGAAAAGTCCATTAAAACAGCAGCAGGAAATGTTTCCTTTATCGACATGCAAGCTCATTCTTTTCTTGCTCACTTACTCTCAATTACCAACTAGTACAACTAAATGACTCAAATGTGGAAGAGAAACCAAAGATAGAATAGACATATTTTCAATCTTATATTTTCATAAGTAGTCCTAGCTCTTGCAGAAACAACGGAGAAAATGAACAATTTCACTAGAAATCAAAACCTTTAGAAACTCAATTTCTAAAGCAATAGAAGACTTTGTGCTCCCAGCACTACTACACTTCTGAAAAGATATATCAAAGGGAGAAAAAAGGTATATACAGACTTTTATACAAGAATGTCCAACAATTGACAAACAATATACCTGATTCATTAGGCCAAACCGACAAAAGTGACATTAAACTGAGAGTTGCCAAAATCACGCTGTGAATCCAGGATTAAGTTGACAGAATTTATGGCAGACGGGCTGCACCATTTCATCTCAATCGACTGCAAAGTTGAAATTTCTCCAAAAGAAGAAGGGATCTCCATGAGTTGTGGGCAACTTGACACTACAAGCTGTTCAAGACGGGGAAGGTGCTCTGCGAATGCATTCCATACCACAATGTCCAGGGAATCTAGTTTCAGGAACTTCAGCCTTTGGAATTCGTTATCTATCATGTCCCATTGCTGCCCTTCAAAGGCCTTGTTGAGTAATTTTAGAACCTCCAGATTAGGAAGCAACCTCCCAATGACTGAAATTTCATTCCATGGCAGCCGGGAGTTTGACATGCTTAGCTTTCGAAGGCTTGAAGGGAAGCTAAATTTACATGGAGGCTGCACCTTACCTGAGAAAAATAATTTGAGTGAAACAAGTTCTGTAAAATACTCCAATGCTGGAAAGAGGCTGTAAGCAGTGGAATCATCCCATGAATCTGCATAAAATTTGCATCCTAGTTTCTTAATGCCAGATAGCTTGCGTAACATCAACTTGTCAACATCATCTCCATGCCTTAAGGACACAGTGGAAACATATTTGAGATTGTCATGCTTTGCGAAATTGTCGAAGAAAGTTTTACTGCAATGCTGGAAATTAAAAAACCCATGATTCATTAAGACACTCCTCAGATTGACCAAATGCCATAGTGACTCGGGCAACATAATATAACCAATTGCACCCGTTATGATTAAAGTTTCCAGATTCCGGAGGTTGCCTATATCAGAAGGGATCTCTGTTGCTTGAATCCGAATTGCTAAGTAACTCAGATTTACCAAAGTGGATATCATAATAAGATTAGAAGAGTCTGCACCACTTTCAACTCCAACATTTCTCAAATCCAACACTTTAAGAAATTCGAGCTGGAGAAGGAAACCATAGTTTGACTGTACTCGTCGCCTGGTAGATTGAGTACCACTACATACTGTGATTCCAAATCTAGTGGTCATGGGTTTTGGTTTTACCATGAACTCTGACCTACCACGTATATTTTGTTCAAATGCCACATCGTTGGAATCTACCTCATAGAATTCAAATCCTAGCTTGGATCTATTGTAATAAGAGATGGAACTTATTGGCATTGAGATATCACCATGAAGAGTTATTGATCCACCAAACTCGAACTCTTGCTTAACTAATCTTCCTTTGACTGAGCAAAAGTCTCTTAAAACATCATGAATGCGGCATTATTTGATTCTGCCATTGGAACTTCTTTTGGCAACCATTACAAGGCTTCTATCCACGAGCGCATCCAAGTAAATCTTTGCCTCTTCCTCTAGACTTTTCTGCCCAAGTTTATCTCCCCGCACAAATCCTTCAGAAATCCATAAGCGCATCAAATGCGATACAAGAATCGTAGTGTCCTCTGGAAATGTTCCGAAATAAAGGAAGCATGATTTCAACCAATATGGCAGGTGATTGTAGCTAAGTTCTAGTATGTTGGTGAATTCAAGTTTGTCCAGGTGTTTTCCACGGTTGATGCGTAACCTATTCACTTCATCAACAACTTGTTCCCAAGATTCTTTCCTTCTTGCCGTGCTTTTCAGAATTCCAGACATCACAGTTACTAAAAGAGGCAGCCCTTTACAGTTTCTCGCAATACGCATTGAGACCGTCCACAGTTCTGGAGGGCAAGTTTCCTGACCAAATATCTTGGACCATAATAGTTCACAACTTTCTTCATTGGAGAGTAGACGTAGAGCATAAGGAATACTATTCGCTTTTGAGGCG